TTTTGGCCGCCGTTCTTCAATGGCCAGAAATGGCCATAGGCCGGCCAAATGTTGTTTTCAAAAAGTTTCATTCGGTTAGAATTTCAATTGGCTTTCATATTAGAACCCTAATTTGGTTTGAATAAGACAAAAAGACATAGAAATAAAGCAATTTATAGTCGTATCCAACCTTTTGACGGGCACTGTATTGATCGTTGCGTATGCTGCTGCAAGCACACCACATAAATATACACATTTAGCACCAAAATGATGGCAAAAGGGTATTGTGTTGTTCCGAGATCCCATTGTTTCGACGAAAAAAGGCCAGTTTCGTTAATGAAAACTCCATTGGAGACCTATTTATAGTACTTCCGATATGTTTCAAGGAACTTCGAGCTAAAATGCCAATTTGATACAAAAGTCGTTTGAAAGTAGGTTCTGGTTTGCTACGGAACCACTAGTATTTTCAGAAAAAAACAAGAATTCGTATAATAAAACCTCTGAATTGTATCCATATCGCATATTTTCTAACCAAAGTTTCCATTTCGAGTGTAAAATATCGCGAGTTGAAAACATCATTCCAACCTATCAGATTTTTTGACCACTGGTGACACCAGGTAGAGTTGGTTGATACTAGAAATCGATTCCTCGTCAAAATTTGGATAGGTACAGAGTTGTTCCGGAACTAAAAATGGCAATTACTTCTAACAAGAACTGGAGAAACAGAAGACATGAGTAATGGGTTTTATTTCGGTCACGGATCTTGAGCTGTGAATACGTGTTGCGAGCAAAATGGCCCGAAGAAAGAGTCGATTGAAAGGTAAATGAGGGAAAACAAGAGACACTCAAAAATAATTTGAAATAAGAAAACTTGGAATTTTCGACAATATTTTTCTCATTCATAGCGTTGGTCAATGAAGCCGATTCCGACTTGCCGCCGCTTCATCGTCATTCAGTGGTGCATTATCAGCAGCGCACTGATTGGGATTGTGGTATTTCCTGTGTTATTATGATGCTGACACGGAGACAACGCCAGGAGCTCCTACGGAATCGAGTTTGTGAGGAAGAAGGCTTTGGCAATAGGTAAATAAAAAGGATGAATGTTATTAATTGAATTCAAGTGAAGGGAATTTTGCTCATTTTTTGGTTTCTTGCAGTACTCGGACGATTGATTTATGCTATTTATTGCGTCGATTTGACATTCGGCATATTTACACAACGATAATTGTGGGGGTCAATCCAACTTTTCGTAACCATGATTACTATGGTCCGATTCTCTGGAAAGACCACATACGAGTGAACAACAAATTCCATTCGGCCACTTGCGACGGCTTGAATATTCAAAAGAAAACGTTGGCAATCGAATTTTATTGAAGCATCTAGCGGAGAATGAACCGGTGATTGTACTTACCAATGGATATTTACTGCATTGTGACCTTTGCAAAACAAAAGAGTCGGAATGTTTAGAAGAATTTAGGTGGGGTTGACAGAGAGAAAATGATAATGAAAATGTCTATGGACTCTGAATTTTTTTCGGCAAAATTGTATAGTTAAATCAAGCAACGAATTTCTTTTATATTTCACAGAAAGTGTTTCCCAATAAACAAACCCAAGACGAAATTTTCGGGCCATTACATTGTGCTCTGTGGATATGACAATCGTATTGGCAGTGTATTTTATAGGAATCCAGCCATAAAAAGTTGACATGAGTTGATTGATGCCAAAAAAATTGCAATCGACCGGCAAATCTTCATTTTTCCTGAAAAATTGAAAAAATTAAAAATAATAGGTTATCATTAATCTGAATCGTTTAATATCTGTATGATTTATTTTCCGTAGGTGTTTGGTTTATGTCCTATCGAAAGCTGACTGAAGCTCGAACAGCAAATGGCACCAATGAGGACTTGATCTTTGTGTTCCGAAAAAGTTGAATTCAGACAAAAATAATAGAAATGTAATTTTCAATATAATCTGAACAAAAAAACTAAATTACAAATAAACTGTAACGAAGAATTATTCAATAACTACGACTGTAGCGTAAGTACATGCGTTCATGGCTTAGATTCATCGGAAATTTATTGAGACCCTAATGGCGGAATATCGAGGGGCAAATCACTCAAAATAGTAATTGCAAAATTTAGCAGTAATTGAACGAGAAAAAAGTAATTGCATAGGTAATTGCTAAGAAAAAAGTAGTTGCGAAAGTAATTGTTGATCAGCAATTACTACATTTTTCTTGCAATTACCAATGCAATTACTTCTTTTTAATGCAATTACTTTTGAGTGATCTGCCCCTCGCGGAATATACATAGCGACGTTTTTCTTACAGCCAACATTTTTTTAGAATCATTGAGATATTCTCGGCATGCTCCGTTCGTTCGAATAACCTTAGAACCATGTTGATGGTATTCATTGTCCGAGGCGAGTTTCAATTTTAATTTTGAAAATTCCCATGACATGAATAAGGCTAACAGAAATATTTATTTGAATATTTTGGGCACAAAGAGAATATGATATTTATATAACATCTAACTCCATCTAGAACTCTTTCCAGTAGTTGTGTTCTAGTGAGTTATACTACCCAGACTGAATATAGCGGTTTCAACTACTTTCGGCCGAAATTATCTTAAAACTGCAATGAGTTATTTGTTATGCGAACGCTCAAACGACTATTGTTGATGTACGGACTAATTCAGTAATCCACAGACATGCAATGGCTACTGGATGACAAATGAACCCGTGAGCATAAAAACAACGTATTGACTCTTCGCCGATGAATACGAAACGCAAAAAAATCGCCGAACAAAGTGAAACACCAATCTGTTATTGGATCAATATGAAACATGAAATCGTTGGCCACTATTTTATTTACGTTGCGCTTTGTTTCGAAGCGCGGCAAGTGTTTCATTTTGTTCCAGTAACAGAACGTTGTATCACTTTGTTCGGCGACGCGCTCAATGTACTGTTTTGGAAAAATATGCATGATTTGATACAGTTTTGAGTCCATTGGTATGATGATTCATTTTAACACAACACCCATTCTATTTCGCTCACACTTACGTGCACTTTAACGTTGCTGAAACATGTACGTTCTTGTTTCTTTACTGCGCACATCTTTTTAACAGTAAAGCAGACTACTTTGTTATACGGGTAAAAATTGCACGTAAGTGTGAGCGAAATAGAATGGGTGTTGTGCGTCCGTGTTTTGGCCATGTATAGATTTCACTATATAAACCAATGTATTCACAGCGGCGTGAACCCGCGTTTCGAGGATTTCATACAAACTTCCCATGTAGACGATCCGAAATAGGCAACAGTCGAAAAAAAAAGTTTAATTTTTTTTTCGATTTTCATATAGTATTTTTTTCTGCTCTATTGGTGTTATCGGCACATCGAAATTCGCGCTACTTATCAGTTAATTTTCACTTCATAGACAAATCACGACCAAAACCACCATTAAAATGAATCATCATACCAATGGACTCAAAAGTGTATCAAACATTTTTGTTTCAATTAAAGTGAAACACAATTTCTATAGTCAGCCGATATTTCACGATTCACTTTCAAGCGAACAGAATTTATGTTGCACTCGCACAAAACTGTATCAAATCATGCATATTTTTTCAAAACAGTACATTGAGCGCGTCGCCGAACAAAGTGATACAACGTTCTGTTACTGGAACAAAATGAAACACTTGCCGCGCTTCGAAACAAAGCGCAACGTAAATAAAATAGTGGCCAACGATTTCATGTTTCATATTGATCCAATAACAGATTGGTGTTTCACTTTGTTCGGCGATTTTTTTGCGTTTCGTATTCATCGGCGAAGAGTCAATACGTTGTTTTTATGCTCACGGGTTCAAATCTACAACACACTCGAGTGCGTGTATTTGCGCGCACATTAACAGTGGCCATTTGAGCGTTCGCATAACAAATAACTCATTGCAGTTTTGAGATAATTTCGCCCGAAAGTAGTTGAAACCGCTATATTCAGTCTAGGTGATATTACTCACTAAAACACAACTACTCGAAAGAGTTCTAGATGGAGTTAAATGTTCACACCTAAAGCTAAGTACACAGTTCCTCGTGAAATGAAAAAATTTCTCCGGTGAAATTTTTACAGGTGATATTTGTATGGGTTTTTTATTTTCGAGTTGCAAGCATAATGATTTTTGATGTATGAAACAGTTAACTCCCTCCAATATCAACACAATACATGAACAAATTTGAATTTTGAATTCATTTCTTAATGTATTTTGATCTTTCTTATTTTTTCACCGCCGTGAAAAAAATTTCGCGTACATTTTGCACGCGAAATACTTTTCACGACCGTGAAAAAAAATTTGTTTAGACAAAACACATAGAAGAATGAACTCAAAAACCAAATTTGTTCATGTGCCGTGTTGATATTGAAATGAGTTAGCTGTTTCATACATCAAAAATCATTATGCTTGCAATTCGAAAATAAAAAACACCATAAAAATATCACCTGTGAAAATTTCACCGGAGAAATTTTTTCATTTCACAAGGAACTGTATACTTAGCTTAATCCAATGTATTGAAATTCCATATACATGCTCAGAGTATGATTTTGGGCGATTTCATTTTAAATAAAAATCATATTAATTATTTAAAAATAATTAAATATTTTAAGGAATTTAGAGTTTCTCTTCTTCAATATTTCGAGGATTTTGCCGTTTTCTGCGAAAATGTTCAATTTTTTTTCATAAGGAAAAACAAATTTTGACTCCCAATTTTTGGTTCATGAAATAGAATATTTTTTTTATTTTCCATTTTTTTCTCATTGAAAATTGTTTCGTAAATAATTTGTTAGCCTTACCATGGTTAGACATGAAACATTATCGAAATTCGGGTTTGTCTTTTATTTGTCAGCAAAGCATGGGCTATATGAGTACAATTGTTTAGATTAAATTTTCAAAGAGTTGCCTCATTAATTACCATTTTGATTCAAAACAATCCAGCTGAAAGAAAATTCACAAAATAGATGGGAGAAAGTAATCTGTTTCATTTTTTTCAAATTTTATTTCTTGTGGAACTTCAATAGATTTATATAAAATTAAAGAGGATATAAAACGTAAACAAATGTAAAATTGTATTCTACCCACACATAGATTTATAGATTTTCAACGAACTTATCTATACTATTACACAATTGATATTGTTTTTTCAAATATTTGCATAAAAGAATTTAGAAAAAATCAATATTTGAATCACAATTTTTATGTCATTTTAATCGGTTCAAATAGGTATTTGTATTTTTTCTAGCTGAAATCATTGATTAAGATCATTCATCTAATTTTAAAAAATTAATAATATTTAAATGTTTTTCATTCTTTAATATTTTGCGTATATTGTTTTCGGAACTCTTCTGTGAATTCAGATCGATAAAATTTTTTGAAGCATTTGTCAGTTCAATTATTACATCTGATCCTTTCAATTGATCATTGATAAATTGACGAATAACTCCATAGGCACTTTCAAATAGAATATTTTCAATAAAAATCTGTTGCACTCGTTCATGTTCTAGGTTGTTCATTAAATATTTGCTAAAGAAAAATTCAGCAAAACTATGATGAATAAATTCTAATTTTTCTGATCGCAAATTCAATAGTCCAACTCTAGCGACTTTTTCGCCTTTTCCTTCATTTTGTTTAATTTCTTGCTTCAATTTATCTAATACAATGAGGTCTGGCAATAGCTTCTCTTCATAATCTTTTGGAAATAAAATTTGTGCAGCCAAAGAATTGTGCACATTATTCAGATATTCACCGTGATCTCCGCATATATCACTAGCAGCTTGATTACCCGGCTTAGATTTGGCTTTGATTTTATAGAAAATGGAAAATTGAATATTTACAAATTTTTGATATAAATCAAATGGCTCCAACTTGCTTATCAATTGCTTTTCGGCCGAAACAACCACAGTCAACATTTTAAGATTTAGTGGAGTGCCATAAAAGTTGCTATCTTTAGCAAACACCCCTTCTCTCCATAGAGAAAGCAGATTGTTCTTCACATATTCAGTGAATGATAAAGAGTTTATTTCGTTTTTTAGCTCATCGATTTTTCCACCTTTTTTGGAATTTTTTTTCAGAATATTTGAGATATTTTCCGTAAGCGCAGGAGTTAACGATGCTTCCTTTATTTCTTGCAATCGTTTGATCATCTGTGGATAGGATCGATCAGAAGCTTCTGTTGAGCCAACCGAAGGTTTACCACATCGAATATGCCATTTCAAAAAGTTATCGAAAAATGCGATTTGTTCCTCGTCTTTTAATGGTTGTAAATAATAAGACGTTGAGTTGAGTTCATTTTGCAAGTGATCTTTTTCATGGGGTCGTGTTGTGATCCAAAGTTGGCTGACATCACTTGCTTTTAGAGTATTTATTAGTGTGCTTGTCTTTTCGTTATAATTCGGACTGATTTCATCAAAACCATCCAGTAGTATAACAATCGGCGGTTTTTTATAATGTGATTCGGTTTTTTCAAGGCTTGCTTTAATTAATGCACGTTGCAAACGAATTTTAGCATCATTTATTTTGCCGCGAACTCTCCGAATAACCATCTTCGATACAAATTCGATACCTTTTCCAATTTCAAGTTCTTTAAAATTTATTCGATTCAAACTATGTGGTGTATTTTTAGTGGCTCCATAGTCAGTTAAATTAATTCGAACAATCCACGCATTTTCCTTATTTTGCCGCATCTTTTTAGCGACACTTGTTAACACTGTAGATTTGCCCATACCAGCATTGTTAACCAAAAGTGTCAATTTCTGTACGTTCCCTCTTTCAACTAATAGTTTTTCACTAATATTACTTGAATCGTTTGTTGGTTTTTGCTTCAGATTAAATTCTCTTTCGATATAGAAATCTTTCTCATAACCGATGGAAGAGAATGCTTTTTCATCGCCAATTTGAATCTCTTCATTCTCAATCAATCTCAATAAATTTTCGGAATCAATGATTTTACAGGCTAATATTTTATCAATGAGCTGATCAAATCTCATATTGTCTTTCTCTTGGAATTTAATTTCTTTTGCCAGTACTTTGTTTCGAGAATTATCATCCAAATGTGTAAACTTTATTTCATCCTCTATTTTTATAAATAATGGTTCATTTAAATTTTCATCTGAAGCAGTTTGACTATTCATCTTTTCATAATGTTCTCGAAACTTTTTAGATAGACCATCGTCATCTGGAGCGATGATGATAAGTTTTTTATTTGGATTCTTTGAAAGAATGTTTAAAATCATTTTGAACAAATTTTGCTCAGCATCTACATCCACATCCAAATTTCCAATATATCTCCGACATTCCTGTCGGCATTCAATTACGCAGAGATCATAGGTGTTCCTATAAATAACCGTTTCTTCAAAGGATTGTTCAACCAGTTCTTCAACTGATTGGATGCCCGAATTGAATGCATTTAAAATAAATTTACGTGTTTCCTCTCGATGTAAAACAGTACCCAAGCGAATGAAAATATAACTATCATGTTTCTTAAATTGGCCCGAATCAGTTAACTGCCGAAACAGTTTTATTGCGACTAATCGAGTGAATTTGGTAGAAATATGGAAAACTTTTTCACTATCATTCGATAAAAAGTCGCTTAGTTTGCAAATTTCTTTGAATTTAATGCGAAGCGAAATGCCATATGCATCAAGTCGTTCAGTATATGCTTTGCACAGTCCAATGCACATAAATGTATTGATCTTTTGCTCCATTTTCTCGAAAAATTGTTCCCCCTCTATTCCATGATAGAATCTACCGCGTTTTTCTTTTAGAAAATTGATCATTTCCCGCTCAAAAGAATCTCTTACAAAATCGGCACTTAGCAAAGAAAATTTGTCACCAATCTCCTGTTGAAGGACATCACTCAATTGCCCCTCATCGGGATAATTTGTAATAATTCGAAATTGTTCTAAGAACTCATCAAGGCACTTTTCAAATGTGTTATCATTCAAGGCCACTTTTATCATAGATATATTTGAAATTATACGTTGAAGTTTAACGTATAAAGTCTTTTTCACTTGTTTCAAATCGTTTGACTTTTGGATTGTGTCGATAATACTTTTTGGAATTCGATATTTTCGCTTTAAGATATCCTTATTATTAATTTCTTTTTTTATCCATTCCAAATCTTTTGAGTCCGAAACCTCCTTTCTCAACTTCCTTAATTCACGCTCATCATCGAATAATTCCACTTTATCTCCTTCTAGATCTTGATATTCTTCTGAACATGAGTCACTGTATTTTTCTAATTCTTCTTGACAATCGTCTATAACCTTTTCCACTTCTTTTACATCAGAATGAATTTTTTGCATACTGTCACGTGCAATTCCTGTTCCAACTCGATTCTTTTCTAATAGTTTAATTGACTCCTTCAAATTGTCGACCGATTGCTTACATCCGTTTTCATTCAAAAATTTCTCCATCGAACGTACGAACTCTTTTGCCATTTTTATAACATGCCCTTTCCTTTGTTTATCTTTACACTCAATTGCAATATCAATTACTAATGTTTTTGCTCTTTCGAGCTGATCTTTGCGTTTAATATGTTTTGTAACCCGTAATTTTTTCTTGATAGCATTAAAACTATCGATTTCTTTTAATGTCGAAACGCTTTCCAATAAATTTGATTTGAATTGTTCGTATAAATCTTCTTTCGCCTTTTGAGTGAATTTAAATTTTTTTGTTTGAACCATACATGCTTCAACATGTAGGATGGGATCAACTTGTAAATTTTTTTCTTCCTCAAAATATTTACTCCATAATTTGATAAGTTCACAAAATTCTTTGCCCACTCGTCTCGATGAAGCAATCCTCTCATCACAATCGTTGAATTCGAATTCCGTATTCGTGATGAGGGTAAAATCCTTGAAAGTGGCATCCTTAAAACGTTCATTATATTTAATTTTACAAAATGACAGAAAATATTTCTGTAAACTGAAATCGTTGTCATTTGATATCAATTCACTAATGGTGATCTTTGAACTATCGGTATTTTGTTTGTGCTTGGCCTGCACAAAACGCCATGTCCATTTGTTCGATTCCTTATATCTGAGAACAACATCATCAAGCGCCTCGGCATCATCCATTTCACTCGCTAGGCTGAACTCATAGCTGTTGCTAAGGGCCCGTTTTCCAAAGAGTGCCAATAATTTTGCTTGATAAATGGGACCATGGAAATTTGATCTCAAACTATGGGCATCATAGGTATCGGTATGGTCAATTTTTTGTTTCTTCGGTTGATTTACACTTGTATTAACACTTGTATTATTGGTAGAGGATTGTGTAGAATCGTTCAGATCTGCAAAGCTATCGATCTCTTCGGACGATCTTCTGCGAGATGTACCAGCCTGAGCTCGCCGTAAAAATGCTTCAATTGACTGTAAACTGGCGTCGTTTGGATCCCGTTCCAAACGTTCATGCACCATTTTTAATGCTGTCTTATTACGGCTATTAACAATAGCAACGTCTGCTCCTCGTTTGATTAAGAAATCAACGATATCACAGTTTCTTTTCCTCACAGCCAAATGCAAAGCAGTATCACCATTCACATTTTTATAGTTTATATTTACCAATTTATTTAATAATGATGTTTCAAACTGCATTATTGATGCATTTTCGCGTACCAACTTTTGTAAATTTTCATTATAGGATGTAGCTTCGTCGACACAATCACTTGAATCCGTATCTTGTGAGTCCCGTTGATTATCTGTTTCAGTATCGACTTCCATGTTGATGGTGGTTTGATTTGTATTTTCACGGCAGTTGTGGTCGTTGGTGCATCCACACTTGTATAGTACTACGATAAATTGGCTGAATTCCGACACCAAATCACGATTTCTTATTTTATAATGTTGTTATTCCGCTGTGGATGTAACGTACCCTTGATGATGACACCAGCAAACTATCCGATTACATGGAATAAGAAGAAGAAGAAGAACATAGAACGAAAAAAGTTAGTGTCATATATTGAACAATGTGCATACGTGGATATACCCATATACCACACCAATTTACAAATGTAATATCTACTTACGAGTTTTTGTTTGTAATAATAATATAACATACGTCTTTAGAAATGGAACGTATCTGTCCAAATACTTTTAAAGTGGAATGATTACTTGTGGAATGTATAAAACTAGAATGTTTGCCGGGTGAGCATGTGTGTTAGTTTGACGCTTTTTCCAACAACAAATGAATATCCTCAATATTGACATAGTCAAGTTTGACAGATCAACTGCATCGGGTAATATAGGTATTACCAGTTGGCAGTGTGACAGTTTCAAATGCTGTTGAAGCGCGAATTTTTTCAAAAGTTAGTCCCAATTCATGATGTCATATTTTCCAGATCTGTTCATTGATAGAAATAGATTTATTCACAATTTTAATGCAATAGGCATTAAGAATTTTTGTATATAATTTATAAAAAAAAAAGAAAAAATATTTTGTTGAATCATTTTTATTTTTTATTACGAGTAATTGATGTAGAAAAGAGTAATCAGATTGTTCATATTAAATTTTATATCATTTTCCTTGGTTAGCAAATATTTTTGAAAACATTTCTGTCTATTTAAATACGTACACAGAGTTTTTGTTGCTTTCAATGTTTTTTTTTCTTGTTTACAACTATTTAGTTTGAATATGACATTTTGTACCTTAGGTTTTGAGTTGAATCATGTCATGAATTTCATGATGATAAAAAACTTCGTTTTTAATCCGATCGTTCTAATGTGAGAATTGTCCATTTGCCAACCATTTCAATTGATGCTTGCCATCCATTATCAAATGATTCCATTAATTCCTTAGAACTATCATGATCACGTATAACGAAATTTGCATTTTTCAAGAATTTCAACGAATTGACAAAGTCAATAATATCTTTTTTTGTAAGCTTAGCATGTGAAGTAAGCTTAAAAATACGAAGCGATGGCAATGCCTTGGCTATTGCGGATAGATTAAGCGTATTCCAAACTATACATAGATATAATTCAACGATGGTTGGGTTGTGATCAAAAAAATTGTACAGTTCTGCTGGGCAGCATTTCTTCACATCTATGGTGCATTTTTTAAGTTGGTCGAATGAAAATGGGATTTTTGGCAATTTGCAGCTAGGTGTACGCTCAGGATTCATAAATAGAATTCCAAGTATTTTTACAGTTCGAAAGCGAAATATTTCACCATTGAATTCATTACGTGGTGTGACAAATTTCATATCCCAAATTAACTGGAGTTCTTCAAGGTGTTGCAGGCGTTCCATGCTTCGCAGTACATTCACACCGGGCCCAATGTCGAAGCAGAATAAGGTGCGTAATTGAGGATTTGAATCTAATACTGCTGGCGAGATATTATCCCATGGGACTATACCATGGCCACTGCCTCGACGTACACAAAAATGCTCCAAATGCGGAAAGTGGTTCTCGATAATGCCAAGTGATTGATTAAAGTCAATGTATATCAAACGGTTCAATTTTGGAAATAACGTTTTCAACGAGTCTTTACTTTGGCCTTCAAAACCAAAACTTTCAATTTCGACAGTCGAAACGTTTGGTAGTGGCTTCAAATATTTCAGGAAACCTTTGGGACATTGATGAATTAGAAATTCAGTCAACGACTCAGCACAATATTCATTAATGTACTCGATTGCAAATTTGTACAATAACGAAAACGATTCCTTTAGATGAGTTTTCTCAAGCACATTGGCCGGTCCAAATTCCAGAACAGTAATCAAATGGCCAAAATTACGGAATACTTGAAGGCAAGTTTTCGCCGAATGAATCCATTCAACAGTTTCGTCTACTTTTCCGCATTGTTTGCGGTAAGGTTGTATGTATACTACGTTCACTCGTTCATTTCCGAATTTCTTCGCGAATACCAAATCGGCGGCCGTCTTGAATTGTTTGCTGGAATCAGCTATGTTCAGCAAATCGAGCAGGTCCAAATGTTTGAAGACGCGCTCCTGACAGTCGATATTGATGTCGCTGAGTTTCGTTTTAGTCACCATCTCAGCATCCGGTTGGTTTGGCGCACCATGTTCAGATCCATCGTGTTGAGGACCTTCAATGAAATCCGATGTTTGGTCCATCATCATTGATATCGATGGGTCTAAAAATAAAAATGAGACGAAAACATTGGTCAAAACTTGTTACAGATCACAACATTCAACAAAAAAATTTATGGAAAAAATTAAATGAATCTTTGGTCAATAAAATAACCAGAACCAAAATAGACTGTTGAATTTGACTACAAGAAGTACAGGAACTAGTAAATTTAACATGAAATCCTAAAACCTAGTACCGAAACCGAGAAGGCTCTAAGAACTTGCATCGCATACTTTTACGTGATATTTTTGATACGTTCGCCAAACGACAAACAATAGTCAACTCTCCGGTCTCCACCCCACTGCTTATATTCGTATTCGTGTACTGTTATTGAATGATCGCACGCAACCACCCTGCTTCCAACATGAATAGCCACGTTTTTTCGGTTATTTTAGGAACAACACGACTGTATTGTTGTTATGCGCTTTAATTTTCACAAATATCCAATAAAAATATTGCATGTGGATGAATTCAGGATTTTTTTTTAGCAAAATCTGTATCGAAAATGACATTTTTTTGACAACTAACAATGTACTTCAATTCAATTGTCACTTTCGTGTTATTATTTGATTTTTCATTTTATTGTTGCAGTGAGTGAAAACAATAAGTACTTATTAGCCTCATTTTCTTGGAGTCGTGTACCTGTACATATTTACATTTATATAACATATATTACAATATAATTAGTTGTATACGAGGAAACAATTGACAACTGGAAGCAACATTGATATATCGTTATAACGTAACCAAAATTAGTTCACTTGAATCAACAAAATTAAGTTCACAAAAAACAAAGATTGCAACATCTACACGATGGAAAAATTGGCATTTTTCTGGTTTTTGCATAGAGTGTCATTCTGTAGAGGTAGTATTCAACAAGTCCACATTGAACGGAACATTTAGATTCATCGTTCTTATATTGATTGATCTTTTTCATTAAATTTGATATGAATTTGTGACTATTTAAATACTTACTTTTTGATCTGAGCAGCCTTTGTCGAAATAGTTCTAAACTGGAACGCTTATTTGTTGCTTTTATGAGCAAAGTGTTTGTGTTGCGATGACAGCCCGTGTTATTGTAATTCTTTACATCACATTAACTGAATCGAGTTTGACAGGTGAGCTCATCTATCGGGCAACATGTGTATTGCCAGTTGCCGGTCTAACACTTTCAAATTGAAGAAGCGCGGAAATATTTCAAAAGTTAGCACTCATTCATGATGGCATAATTTCATCAATGAAAAGTATTTTATTTGCATTATTTTTGCATCAAGAATCTAAATATAATTTATCAGACACAATTATTATCATTTTATTGAACCATTTTTATTTTTGGTAATTTCAGTAGAAAAGAATGATAACTTGTATTTCATGTTGTGTTTCTAAACTATCTAAATGACCGCACTTCAATGTTTTTGTCAATGTATTTTTTCTTGCTTAAAACTGCCCAAGTAACAATTATTAAATGAAATATATCCGAACCCGGGTATATGTTTAGGGTTGAATGTGGGGTTACGTTTGACCATTGACACAATCATTTTTTCCGTCGAAAATGAGTGAAATTTGGGCGTAGTCCAATTGTGCATGAAATGAATGGAAAGAAAATAGAATGAAATCAATGCTCTTTTTTATCAATTGAAAACCAAGTCATTTCATTTGTACTTACCTACGCAACCAACAGTACGTACTCCCGTGAACAACAGAAGGCTGCTCACTCAGGCCCGTTAATTAATCAAGGCCAGTTGGATAACGAATCGTTAGTACAAGTATTATTTTTAAAATGTATTCTTAAGTGATATGGAGTTGGTGCTACTGCTAGTGATTGCTGCAATCTATTCATCATCCTCAACTTCGGAGATGTGCTCGTAATCACTGTCGATGTTCTGTTCTTTGTGCTGGACCGGTGTCGATAGATTCGGGTGAATGCGGTATCCGAACACCTCACAACGACCTAAAACAGAAATCACACATAAAAATTTGCAATCAAAATAGTTAGAATCATTTCGATTTCATTATTTTACCTTTGTATAGAATGCACTTTGCAGCCACTACGTCACGATGTCAATTGGTTACGTTCTGATTTATGTGTGACGCATACCACTCCAAGTCACCAGCTTCATTTGAATGACATTTATAGTATTTGCAAAGTTTTGACACCAAACGTATTTTAGCTGGTCGAGTCGGATTGGCTGCGTTACGTGGCTGATTGTTGTTGACATTCTGTTGCATTCGTTCGTCCTTCTCCTCTTTGCGTGCTTTCTTCAGTTTTCGGCTACTTAATGTGGTCACGATTTTGTTTGGCAATATTTGACCATCATATCCATTCAGCCAGCACTGTCGGCAAACTTTGAACCGATTTCGTTTGGTTCGTGGATCGAAACGTCCAAGGCATTTTTGCGCATGTCTACGAACGGTGCAATTGTTCAATTTCTTGAAGCTGGCCAACAATTTTCTTGTGCCGGGGCATCGCAACCGTCTTTTGATTCCAATCGGTGAGTTTTTTGCCATTTGTGCTGCGCCCAAGTAAATCATTGATGGCTTTTTGTTCGTTAACGATGCGGCAATTTTGCCGCTGGCTCGAGTTGACCCCACGTATTTGTCGAAACTGAGGCGAGCGTACTTGCGCGTTCCAAACACAGCAATTCCCAGTGCCATCATAGTCAACCGATGACAAATGTAGCTCTTCCATGCATCCTTTGACTTTGGCGATGGGTCCACTGGATATGACCGAATCTCGCGTTGTAGTTGCTCCTTGAATGTCCTCTGCCATCGTTCTTCTTTCTGCCTACGTTTTGATCGTTTTGCCCTCCAATGATACGTTGGACCAGCAATCGTGATGTTTTCCTGAAATGAAAAAACAATGAAATGCCACAGCAATTAGTAATTTATACATTAGTTTATCTGAAAATGAATACTCATCCACAATTGCCTTACCTCATCACCAGTTGCAACGGTGCGACGAACGGTTGCGTTCCATGTTCGAACGCCAGGGTCGATTCCAAGCTCATACACGAATCGTTCTCCACGGTACATATCCTCAATTGTCTTCAAATCCTTCGCATCCAGCGTACGGTTCGATTTGATGTACATGAGCGAAACAGAAACGCTATCAGTCATGATCGAGCAATCGAATTTTATTTTTCGGCCGCCGATTTTGTTGATTTTCTTCATGTTGAATACGTGTTTCCACCACTGTGCCGTATTTTTGTTGTAAACTTCGCGGCTGATACTCACTTTTCCTCCACGTTTTCCTATCGCATGCTTCAAAGCACCCAAACCACAAGCAATTTCATAGAAAAGCGTGACATCGATGCGAATGTGCTTGAGATCGAAGTCATGAACGGGAATCGCAATAAAATTCTTCACTTTTGGCGGTCGTGGCACAAGTGGCATCTTATTTGTGACTGGATCACTCTTGTATTTGGCCCATTCGCTATTCAGCATGCCGTACGTTGTATGGAAATAGCTGATGTTTCGCTGAATTTTGATCCACATTTGTAGCGATGCAAATCACTTTTTGGTGACAAATTCTTTCAAATTGTTGTCAGCTGGCCCACCGATTCGTACGACTTCGCCCAGCAGAAACTGCATTTTCCGATATCGGTCCGCATTGCCATGAGTCAATGAAACAATGAGAACAAAAAAAAACAATCACTGTGAATCGAACAGTATGCACAACAAATGACTTGCCTTTTCAAATGCTCAGATCAATATGAATGTGCAACCGGCATCAGTTTGACAAATCAAGCTGAATTTGACAACTCTCTTCAACGCGCTAATTTTCGTGGCGAGATTCGGATTTGACTGGTATCGATGCAGAAACTCATGCGAAATATAATCTCATAACGGAACCAAAATAAACAAATGCAACACCAAGCCACAGTAGCGAATGAGTCTGTTGTGTTGTGTTGTGTTGCGTTGTGTGAAATGGAAGAGATGTATCGGTTCTGCTGTTTCTTTCTAATTCACGCGCCCAAAACGAAATCAATACACAAATTGAATTCTTGTAAGATGTTTATTCAGTTCGTTCGGCACAGAGTTGTTTGGAATGGTTGTCATTTCAAATGTTTGAATTTGAAAGATGCTGGGTAGCGTTCCGAATATTCATACAGTTGGTTTACACTGAAATTTCAGTCGATTTTGACGGAAATAAAGACTAAAAACGTTACATCTTTTAACGTTAAAAATGACTAAATTGCGTTACATGTTCTTAACTATCTAAATGACTGATCTTCAATGTTTTTCTCTGTGAGATTATTTTTTGCTTAAAATTATGGTTAAATTTAGCTTGAACAATAATTTTCAGTTTTGAGTTGATTTATGACGTTCAATCCAAACGTTCCAATGTGATTTTTGTGAAATCATTTACTTCTTCAACAGATACGTGCCATTCGTTTTCCAGATGCGTTGAGAAGTATTGCTTCAATTGCTCCAAACAATCGTTAGGAATAAGCTGCACAGTAAAATAAGCCTGATTTAAAACTGGCAAGGAATCGATAAAATCGACAATATTTTCTTTTGTGATAAAAGCATGCGATCTAAACTTGAAGTGACGAAGAGACCGCGATGCCTGTGCAATTTTCGATAAGTTCACAAAAAGACAATTTAATTGCAACTTTAGATCAGTAATTGTTGGGTTTCGTTCAAGAAATTTGTACAATTCGTCAAAAGAACTTGCTTTTGCATGTATGGCACATTTCTCAAGTTGATCAAATACAAATGGGATTTTCGGAAATGTTCCATATTCGCGGGAGGTGTCCATTGTAAAAATTTTGAACATTTTTATGGTTCGAAAGCGAAATATTTCACCATCGAATTCGTTTCGTGCGTTAGCATATTTCATATCCCACATCAGGTCAAGCTCTTCAAGGTGTTGCAAGCGTTCCATGCTTCGAAGTACATTTACGCCGGGTCCAATGTCGAAGTTGAATAAGCTGCGTAGCTGAGAATTTAGATCTAGTACCGCTGGTGATATATTATCCCATGCGATGGCACTATAGCCACGACGTACACTCAAATGCTCCAAATGTGGGAAGTGGTGATCAATCATGCCAAGTGACTGATTAAAATCGATGTATGTCAAACGGTTCAATTTTGGAAACAACGTTTTTAACCAGTCATTGCTTAGGCCTTCAAAACCGAAGCTGTCGATTTCAACAGTCGAAATGTTGAGCAGCGGGTTCAGAAATTTCAGGAAACCTTCAGGACATTGACGAATCCAAATTTCAGTCAACGATTCAGCTAAATATTCATTGATGTACTCGATTGCACATTTGTACAGTAGCGAAAAAGATTCCTCCCGAGGAGTTTTCGCAAGCACATTGGCCGGTTCAAAGTTCAGGACTGAAATCAAGTGGCCAAAATTACGGAATAATTGTAGACCAGTTTTCGCAAATTCGATCCATTCTATAGATTCGTTCGATTCTACGTATTGATTGCGGCAAGGTCTTATACATAGCACTTTCACTCGTTCATTTCCGAATTTCTTCGCGAATACCAAATCGGCGGCCGTCTTGAATTGTTTACTGGAATCAGCTATGTTCAGCAAATCGAGCAGGCCCAAATGTTTGAAGACGTGCTCCTGACAATCGATATTTATGTCGGTGAGTTTTGTTTCAATCATCATCTCAGCATCCAGCTGCTGAGGCGCTCCGTTTTCGGATACATCGAGCTGTTGATTTTCAATTGAATCCGATGTTTGGTCCAACATCATTGACATCGATCGGTCTACAAATAAAAATTAGACGAAACAAAATTATGTTCAAAAATTGTTACACATCAAACAAAAAATATGTGTCAAAAATTGGACAATTGATTAATTTGAATAACAATTTACACAGATTTTTACACAAAAAGAATAAATGTGCAAATCACATTCAAATCTCAAAATGCGATATCGGTAAAAATATTTTAACCCACATATATTTGTGTATATCTATGTCAATTCTCTGCTCGACTGCTGAGCAAACACAACACATTACAGTATATATACTAGTATACTATATTGAGTTTGTTTTTGAGTCGATTTTTCTTTAATTTGATTTCACAAACGTATTTTATTTAAGAGATTTAAATAAAACCAACCTTGAATGCATTTCGAGCTGACTTCAGCTCATCATCAGCAATCACGACTGAAACCGTCGTCGGTGAACCACACTCGCCGTCACATTTCTCTTCTCTCCTTCTTCTCTCTTTCTCCTTCATTTGCAAATATCCATAAAACACTATGACAAAGTGCACACAAACAAACCGACCGATTCGATGAGACACTACAGCACAAACAGACGGCACATTTTTTTAACGCATAAGAGATGAACTAATTAGCAAAAGCGAATAAGAATGATGTTATGTTTCCTTCGTCTTGGTTCATTGGGTTTTCTTCCAATGAAATGTAGTATGATTCCCATGCGTCGAGTTGTCTTTCGTCGTTCACTTGTTTCACGAGAGAGACGTTATCAATGTGAATGCCGTGTTCTTCTGATAGAACGTGTGCAGCAGCGGCAGATAAATGGGGCCTGTTGAATTTGACACAACGGCAATGTTCTTTGTATCGTATTTCAATGTTTCTTTTTGTTTGACCTATGTACGCAGCATCACAAACAGAGCATTTGATGCGGTAAACACCTGATTTTTGTAATGCCGGCGTTTTGTCTTTATTTGAACCGAGTAACGATGAGAGTTTGTTTTGGCTCTTAAACACCATTTGCATGTCATATTGTCTCAGTTTTTGTTTTAATTTATTCGTCACTTCGGGAATGAAATTAAACGCGACTTTTTTTCTTTGACTGGTTTGAGTTTGGGAAAAAAGGGTTGACAAATTCGATCGTGCAACTTTATTGGAATGTTTTTTCACAATTCGGTCAACGAAAGTTTCACTATAACCGTTTTTCTTTGCCACTTCTTTTATGTATTTGTATTCTTTGCTAAAATTTTCAGCGTTTAATGGCAAACGACACAAACGGTGACACATTGAGTGAAATGCCGCTTCTTTATGTTGAATAGCACAATTTGAGTCACAGGTTATTACCCTTTGTGTGCTCGTCGGTTTGTGATGCACACTCACTTCGATTTTATAATTCACACGTTTCAATTCAAGGTCGAGAAAAGGTAAAACATTATGATTCTCTTCCTCGTGTGTGAAATTAATTGTTTCAAATTGACTGTTCAGTACATTCAGCAAACTATCAATTGCACTTGGTTCAACTATTGCGAAAACGTCATCAACATAACGTAACCAGACTCTTGGTAAGAGACCACGATTTTTTAGGTTCATTTCAAATGATGCCATAAATATTTCAGATATTAGTGGGCTCAAAGGGTTACCCATGTTGGTACCCTTTTCCACCTTAAAAATATTGTCTCTGAATTGAAAGAAATTCTGGTTCATGCATGTTTTTGCCACTCTCAGATACACTTTTTTCTTCTCTTCACTTATGTCCACCTTTTCCAGGTATTTCTCAAATTCAATCAAAGCCCCATAAAGTATACTATATGTATAATTACACAGAATTGAGTGACCGTCCGCACTGCTGGTAATATGAACGGATACATTTGTGATCGGTTGTTATAGATTCAACACGGCTGCATTGTGTTCATTTGGTTACAAATTTACAGTTCTTCATTTTCCATGTTGTGATTTTATTTATTTTACGTATGGAATGAGTGCATGAGAAGAGAAGGAGAAGCAACAAATAGTTATGAGCTTATTCGATTTTTGTAGCCGATGTGTATATAAGGAAATGATTGGGCATTGAAAGCAACATTGACCAAAGTAAACAAAATAAAATCTCTGGAATCAACAAATATGTGTTTATAAAAACTTTAGATTGCACAATTGGCACAATTGGAAAAATCATTGTGTATTTGCTTTCTGCATAGAGAGTGTTTTTGTAGCTGTCACCTCTACATTGAATGAGACATTTAGTTTCAACACAAATTTATTGCTTTAATATTTATTGTCATCCTCCATAAAATGTATAACTATTTGTAATTATTTTCAATACTTACATTTTGATCTAAGATGCGCTTGTTGAAATAGTTTTTAGTTGGAACGCTTATTTGCCGTATTTATGAGAGAAATTTTCTGCGTGCCGATCGACAGTCTGTGTTACTTTGATATTTCACATCAAATGAATATCTTCAACATTAGCAGAATCGAGTTTGACAGATCAGCTTATCTATCGGGCAATATGTGTATTGCCAGTTGACAGTCTGACAGTTTCACATGCTATGTGTTACCCGGGAAATTGAAATGTATTTTTTGTCATAATTCTGTTTTCTTACTTGATTAATTTTTCCAAATTTTATTTGATGTTTTCTTCACTCTGTCAATGACTTCACAAATAAAATAAAACTGACTTGTGTCGTGCAAATGCACTGACAATCAATCAAAGATGTTTTAATCGAATTTGATGGAAAAAAGATAAAATGGTTTAAATTCATGTTTTTAAAAGATGAATCTCAGTCTGTGAGCACTTCAAGTTATTTATTGTACCACCTTCCAAGCTGACAGATGCGTATAATGATATGGAGACTTGATTCATGTCCGTTCCTCTAAAGCACATTGTTCACCAACGATTAGATTATAGATAAAATAAAAACATCAACCACCAAGATATAATTCTCAATAAATTAAAATTGTTGTTTTTTTTATTCGAAATGGATGTCTCTAATGTGTTTGACATAATACAAGCACAACGTCTACATAAAGTTTACACGTGTTTGAGTTAAATGTTAAGGAATATTTTGCTGTCATCCCAAATAAACGTTGAAAAATTAACTAAATTCAACGACATTTTTGTTTGGGCAAAATTGAATTTTGTGCTAAAAATGCTCTAAATTGGACCTGGGCCTCGTTACAAAATTGGCAATACCAATTTTCTTAATAAAGGTATTGAATTAGATTCTTTCTGGCTGTGAATGTTAACCAAAGTATTAAGCGATGTCAATCATTTCGCACAGCACCATGGAACGTATTTAACGGGCAGCTGCAACGTTGCGCTTCAAACACAAAAAGCGCCATCTGCACATATTTGACTATTCAATGTGAACTAGCTGTCATCAGTATCGTTGAGTCATCGATGCTCAATTTATTTTGGGTCGTAAACGGTACATTGAAAATTTCAAATGTGCCGTTTATGACCCAAAATTGAGCATCGATAACTCATCGATACTGATGACAGCTAGTTCACTTTGAATAGTCAAATATGTGCAGATGGCGCTGTAAAATCGTTCACCACTGACAAACGTCAAATTAGTATGGAAAGAAGTCAATGTTGCAGCCTCCCGGTATTTAAATTTAGTGTTTCCAAGTCACCAGTGGAGAAATGACGGAATAGTATTTCATTTACAAATCAATGGTCAATCCAAATTGAAATGAAAAGATGATGCCTTTGAAAAATCAATTAATCAGTTTTTTAATGTTAGAAATTTTGAAGTCGGTAGAATGGGAATTGACACCTTGAAATGTTGCGATGGGATAATGGTTTCATGACCGAAAGAGTAATTCCGAAAAAAGAAGAAACAGTTTATATCAAAATCTACGTTTTGACTAGCAATTTGCAAAAGGACCACATGTTCGATCATCTTTTGAAATATTTTTTACGTCGATTCATATGAATTCATATGTTCATGTATTTTTCTTTCTAATTGAACACAGCATTAAATTAGTTTACTTAATTTTTTTCTTCTCTTTTCTTCACTTATTTAATGATAAACACATAGAAACTGGGTTTATGTCTCTCTTCTTTATCAATTTTAAAAAAAAAAATGAGCGTCTAATTGGATATTTTGGTTTTTTATGCGTTGTCATTAAATTCAAGAAAAAAAAACTGTGCTTTTCATGTGTCGTAACCAAAGAAAAAAAACCATTCCAATTGTTCGGAAATATCAGTTCTCAAAACCATGTTTCTATGTCTTTTGTTTTTTTTTTGTAAGCGTAAACAATCGAATTTGTTTGCAAAATTCGTCTTCTTTCTCTTTTCTCTTAATCCAAAAAAAATAAAAATCAAATCATAATTCAGGAATTAATAGGTGAATGTTTTCTCTTCAACTTTTTCGGCATCACGTTTGAGGTCAGCGATTAGGCTTTCGACGCAAATTTTCGGCACCAGAATTCCAACGATTTTATTGCCATCGGACGTTTTCAAGCGAATCACTTGCATGCGATTGTTACTGGACACACGTGCGGCCAATTGGGTTTCAACCCGCTGCCAAACCGCCAATACTGATCCGGACAGCACGGTGTACGTTCGACGACGTAATCCAACCTGAAACAAAATTATGAAAACCATTTTTTAGTACTTCTATGGCTCCCGATGCGGGTATTTCGGACAATCGACTTGTTTGCGATTGCGAATAATTTTTATACTTCACACTCGACTCCAGACGACACGTTACGACAATTGCCCCGCCAATATGCATGCGAACACGTCTGCACCGATGAATCGTACAGTTGATTCCAGTGTGGTTCGGCCTCATCACTTTGCACCTTCTTGTATTTTTTCTCGATTTCGGCCAATGACTCGTGACGGAATTGCAAACCCGTATTCGGACGATAGATTTTGAACATTACATCCTTCTTGCTGGGCGATTTGTCACTCTTCTTTTTACTTGAGCTCGATGAACCACCCGAACGCTCGTTATCGATCATTACAGCCAGTACGGGCGTTTGTTTGCCATTTCGATTCTGATGCGACAGATAGAAACCTTCTTTTTCACTCGATAAATCGGCCCAACTGAAGGAAAAGAGTTTGAGGTTAGTGATTTTTTGTTGAAAAAAAAAACGATTAAAGCGAAATATTCATTGAATTGAACAGATCTGTTCAAAGCACCAAACTGCTATGGAACAAATGGCTCAACACTTACATATCAATCGCCTCTTGCCAAATCATTCCTCGTTCAACGTGCACTGTGTGCAGTTCAATTGGAGACACTCCCGTGGCGTGCTTCCGAAGGAAACGAATCAATTTTATGCGGTTCACACTCTCGGATTTACCAAGATCTAAAAAAAAAGGATTGAATCAAAATGTTGAAAATTTCGACAAAACAGTGAAAGGTAAAATCTTGATCCGGCTCATTGATGAGCCATCAGTGATGACTTATGATTCGGCCAAGTCGAAACAAAAACCCAAACTTAACAAAAGTCACAATCAAAATTGTCTCCTTACCTAAAATGCCCAAATCGAATCGTCCACTCTTCTTGGCCGATGAGATGGTGGCATTTAATGTGTCCGTAAAGTATTTGAACAAGCGATTTTGTAATTCGACTGGCATTCCAAGAATGCGATTGAGGAACTTCGATATGTTGTTATAATCCTTATCTAGACTTAAAACGCCGGGCGTTGCTTCGCTATTAACAATAAAACCAACACCGACCAGTGCGCCGGCAATATCCTTAAAGAAGTCACCTTTGTAGTCCTTAGGCGGTTGGACCAGCGGTTGTTCATAGCCCATGATACTTTTCATGATTGACTCCAGTGCGCTGCGTCCATACTTATTATCAATGTTGAACTGTGATAAATCACGTGTTTCAGTAGCTCTACGATCGCCGTGAGTCAAAGCGCCAAGTGATTCTAATCGCTTAGCCACTGTCGATGCGAATCGTCGTTCACCCGCAATATCTGATACTAAGAATTTGTATTCAGGTGCATTCACCTGATTCGAACGATGTGTTCTACCAAACTGTTGAATAGCTCGATCGGCTGACCATGGCAGCTCCAAGGTAATGTGTACTCTACGCCTTTGATTGCGTACCCGTCGGTCACTTTGCAACGATATACCACTTGATGCTGCCTCCGAAATGATGGCCACATCTTTTTCACCGTCCATAAACCGTTGCTTTTCCGTTAGATTCAACGTTTCCAATGGAATATCTTGTTCGGATCGTGATTCGTATTGAATTTGTCCGTCTTCAGTCTGTATGACTCTCCCTTTGCGTCCAGTCATCTCGGCCACATTCTCCGGCCCGCCCAGCTCATCGATCAACTGATCGAGTGTGTTCGGCGGCAATCGATCGCCCAATTTTTCAATCTTTTTGAGCAATTCCTCTTTCAATTCGCACGCTCTTTCGATCGCATCTTTTGGCGGCGGACCATAGTTCATCTGGAATCCATTTGTTCCGATTCCGATGGGAGTTGGTTGTACGCTATTTGTGCTTGACGATGCAGTTGCGGCTTTTACTGTTTGTTTTTTCGTGATCAGTTCTTGGATTTTGTCTTGTGTGGACTGTGGCTTCTTCTTCGGCTGTGCATTTGTCTTTTTCACTGGTTTCGTTTTTTTGCTACGAGCCACCCAAGGATCGGTGTCCGAATCACTGTCGTCACCGCCACCAAATGGATTGAAATCATCACTTTGGTTGCTGTCATATTGCTCGTCGTCGGGCTCTTCGTCATCGTCTTCACTTTCGGAATCGGTGTTATTCTTGAAGTCTGAATCGTCAGACATATCGTTGGCATCGTCTGAAAACTCACCGCCACTCACTTCATCTGAATTATTTCGCTTCTTTCGCTTGCGACCACTGAGCTGCACGGTGGACTGCTTACGCTTTGAACCAGATGACGATGCTGCCGTTTTTTTCTCGTCCAAAATTGTTTGAAGAACCGTTTTCTTAGTGACATCCAAACCAAGCAATCGATTGATACGATTTCGATCCGGGGCCGGGAAATGCTTTTCCACCAATGACTGGAATACACCCCTGGAAGAAAAAGAAGGATATGAATTAGTATGTCAAAGACAAATACGGGGAAGAAGAATGACGATTGTGTAGCTGCTTCATCGATATCTTCACTCACTTAGCGGTCGACACAAAATCGGATAATTCACCATCTTCACGTTCCAGTTGTTCGAGTGTTCTAGCCTCTCCCGTCGACTGCAAACCAATCACAACACACTTGCCCATTTTGATCGACTCTCGGGCCACCTTCACCGCATGCTCAACCTTACTAGCGATACATAAGTATTTGAAGAAACGCTGATGAGCGCTCCAGAATTGACCCCACATCGTTTTCTTCATTCGACTCTCCGCGTCGATCAGTTCAGCCGCCTCGGTGAACTTTTGCATCGCTTCCACCCACTGTGATTGAATAGAGGAATTGTAAATTAATTAAATGGCTTTGTTTTTTATCATCATCAGCCAAAATATAATTTAAAATTTTCGGTATTCAATCAAAAGCATTCGAGATTCGTTTTATTTTTGCATTTTGGAAAGTTCAACTCACCAATTCCACTGATTCATCGTAAGACTTTCTGAAGCTGCCGGATAGTGGCACCTCTTCAATATTGAAAGTGACACCGTGGAAACTGAGCTGCCGGGCGATGTACATGCCTCGCAGTTTCATGTCCATAGCAACGATTTCCATGGCGCCAACACCACTGAAATTATTCAAAATAAATTCGATTAGGTAACAATTTCTTCATTTAAATCCAATTTTTGGAACAATTCAATTCGAATGTGATTTTCACAATTTTTCAATTTTTTTTTTAATATCTTTTGTCTACATTTTTACCCAAAAAAAATAACATTTTTACTTGATTATGGATTTTAATTTAAGATGTCTTTGAAAAGTACCGTTTTTCAACAGCAGTAATAAATTCGTTGAACGTAGCGAATGGAGTGCCTTGACCCCACAATCCTAATCGAACCATGTACGCCATATTTCGTGGTTCTGATGCTCCTGTAGCTGATGCATAGACAACACGCGCTTTTGGCAAACGATTTTGTAGTTCAAGTGCTGTTAGACCGGTTTTTGTTGGCTTACTGGATCCAGTTGGGCACAGATTTTTCGCCTTATGACATTCGTCGAACACAATGCACCCGTCGAAATCTGATCCACACCATTGCAATAGTTGCTTGAGTCGAGATTTGTATTTGTTATTATTTCCAGTCGATTCACTGATTAACGCCGAATACGTGCTGAAAATCACACCCTTCTTCACATTCCCATTCACAGTCGAATTGATTTTTGCGTATTTTAACTATAAATGAAAATTGAAAGAAATTGTCGAATTTTGTTTTATTTCTGATTTTTAAATTTTGAATTAATTAAATTCAACACAATTTTGAATTAAAATAGTTTCTTATTATAATTAAATTTCTCAAGAATTTTTCCATTTTTTTTTTGTATTTTTGACACACAAAAAAATACGAAAAAATGTAATTGAAAAAAAATCAGAGATGACTTTAGCGCACCCGAGTATTTTTGTTGTTTTTTCGTTCTACTTTAGCTTTTTGGCCAAATTTTTTTTCAAATAATATTTTGTGTAACATAACGAAGAAGAGCTTACATTTTCTGCCCCCGGTATTCGCATTGTGTGGTCATATGCACTTAGTAATTACGCGCATTGGCTCAATTTTGTAATATTACACAATTTCTACTTTTAGGGATTTTTCTTCATATTTTACTAATATATTAGTAATCATTATTTATATATAAATGTGGTTTTTCATGTGTTTTTTGTTATGTTACACAAAATATTGATACAAAGTGTTTTTTGGCCAAAAAGTAAAGTATAACGAAGAAAAAAACAAAAAAAAGAACACAAATGTGCACTAAAGTCATTTCTGAAAAAAAATTGATTATTCAAAATTGATCAATGAAATTGTATGTTACAAACATTTTTTTGTAAAACAAATTATTTGAAGAAAAAATTCAAAAACGCAATTTTTGATATAAAGAAATTCCAAGATGTTCAATTTTCAGACGAGCGATTTTTCTTACCTTATTCAATGGATAAACTACAATATTGCTAGCACCAATATCTCGTAAATCACGTTCAGCGTCGTATTTTAGGTCATTTGACACGGAGATCCAGATGGCCTTTTTGCGTCCGCGCAAATAATTTTCGAAAATAATTCCGGCAATTGTTCTGCCTTTACCAACACCAGCACCGTCGCCTGATCAAAAATGATTACAATTCATTAACAAAATGTGACTTTTAATCGTTAAAATTTTCACAAAGAAAATTGACGTTGTTCAAGCAAAAAGAATTCTGATGATTTGTCTTATGAAATTTTTATGGGTGAAGAAAAAAGCCTTGAAAGAAATTCAAGCGGTAAAAAATTCTTTAAAAAAAAAACAAAAATCCATAAAAAAAGGATTTTCCGAAAATTTAATTTGGTCTTTGCATGAAACCTTCACCAAACCTACCGATCAAAAATCCAGCTCTGTTTCCATCGGGCAGAAGTTGTTCGTGTGCTTGCGATGCATATGTGATTGATTCGAGCTGCAGCGCACTGAGTAGACCTTTGTCGATGGTTGGATCGTTGGGAATAGCTACTTTATATGTCACATCGGCCGGTTCAACCGATGACAGTGAAGCCGTTTCAACAACTGGATCGGGATGTTTTTTACCCAATTTCAATTTGGCAGGCCAGTAGTCAGCGTACGTTTCTGCTACACCCATTTCTTCTTCTTCAGCCTCATCTTCTTCTGGTTGGACCAGTTGTGGTTGCTACAAAAGCCAAAGAAATTTGTGTAAGAGTTGGATTTTTATGCGACGAAAAATTTGAAGTTAAAATAAAAGAGGTGTAACCAATTTTGAAAAATTTTGTGATTTTTTAATCACAATAATAGATGATTTGAAAATATATGAGCAAAAAGCACACTTACCCCATACATCGTTGGCTTTTGTGTTTGTTCCATGCACATTTGTAGTAAATTGTTGGGAATACCTTTTGTTAAAAAGTCTGGATTGTATGCTAGTAGCTTCTGAATATTCTGTAACATTGCTTGATATGTTTGCACAACGTTGGGATTGCTCATTGAGCCTCCGCTCAACGCGCCCATTGCTCCGCCAAGACCACCAAAACCACCGGCTCCCATTTCCACTGTGATCCAATGAATGAAAACAAAAAATTATTAATTTTTCATATGAAATATTTTCGGAAACTACTAATGGAACAATTTACAGGATGTGAATAAAAATAATGAATAAAATAAAATATACAAAGGTTTTTTGAGCATTCCTTCAATCCAATAAATAAACTCATAAACATTCTGTGCTAAATTATTTTTCTGACGGAATTCACAAGAAATTACTGCCATTTTTGAACCATCAATTGGGTAAGAATGGAATGATAAAATTTCAACTCAGTTTTGCCAATGACATTAATTCATACAGAGATGATTAGTGCATTTCGGTCCCGAGTTTTTGAGGGGCTTGCCGAAGAGAGAACTTACTCTGTGCTAAAAGCGAAGCGGCCATATTGTTAATGGAATAGAGGCTTGGTGATGATGAAACTGAACCTAAACCTCCTAAGCCAGCTGCATTCATCATTGGCATCGATGAATTCGCAGCGCTTGCACTTCGCATTCCAAACGCTGATTCCCATACGCAAGCATAAATAACCAAATTCATGTTTTGAGTTAAAAAAAAATAATTACCAAAACAATAATTTTCAACGAATTTGCATTCAGAAGCAATTTTGAAAATTTTTATTTTTCGTTTGAAAAATTTCTTTTTTAATTAAAAAAAAAATTATTGCCAAAATCAGTCAGTATATTCAATTTTTTTCTGTTTCTCCCAAGCTAATCTTTTTTCCTACAAAAAATTCAAACTAATTCTTCAACATCATTTGCTAATTGGATTTAGTTTGAATTTCATTTCTGTAGATTTTTCTAAAAAATGCTTCGCCTCAAAACTTTATTCATGAAACAAATTAAGTGAAGTAGTGAATTCACTAGAGTTCACACACTTAACTATACTTCACTACACAACTTATCATGATAAAGATGTAAAAGCCATTTACCTTGCGGCGGTGCTTGCATTTTGATGCCTGCTCCATAGCCAGCTGCATTTGTGTATACCATCGCTGCATTGGATGCGGCTGTGATGTTCGTTGTTGTCGATGGTGGATGAACTCGGGTCGATGCTGTATTTACTTTCGGCAGAAATGGTTTCAAAATCGATTCGGCCGGTATTAAATGTTTCAGCACCGGCTGCGGTTGATTACTTGCTGTGCCAATCGCATTCGATGTTAAATCGAATGTTGTTGCTTTTGCTGTGCTATTTGATTGACTGTTAATTAATGGATTACTCTGGGTTGTTTGCTTGCCGAAACTGGCAGCCGTGGCCAAGTCTCGACCACCACCTGCAAAAACATAGACAAGATGGAAATTCAATAAAATGCTATGTCATCCATTAGGAATTTTAATTTAGACGAAGAGCATGTCGTTCATTTTCGTTGAAAGTTTTGACTTCTTCATTACTACGTGGTGCCAAAAATATAAGTAAATAACACATGCCTATGAGCAAATATAGTTTTGAAATATAGTTTTTCCAGGTTGAAAAATGGAGCGATTGATTTAAATTTAAAGAACTCGAATTGAATCGAAATGTTTATTTCTCACTTCTTTTTTTTCTCAAATTCCAAGAATTTTCTAGGTTTTAAATTTCCAAATGAATTTTTCAACAACAAAAAACTATTCAAAAAGTCATTACATTATTTTTTTTATTTATCGAGACAATTTGTCTGACTCTTAATCATTTCTCTTATCAATTTTTTTTAAATTTTATTGTTTTTCTATCGAAAAGCGATTTTTTTCTGAAGAAATTCCAATTGAATGAAGAAATACGAAGAAAAAAGTGAACAAATTAGACAAAAAAACTCTCTTCCAACGATAATAATACAAATTCAACTCACCAGGAACTTCAATTTTATCGGGGTCTTCATCGTCATCAAAATCTGATCCGGACGATACATCCAAGTCATCGTCTTCGAACATTTCCTTTGTATTTGCCTGTGAATGTGTTGAATGCAAATCGATAAATGAATAAATGGATATTTCGTGTATATCTGAAAATAATTTATGTACTCCAAGCTAAATTGAATAAATTGATGTTTTACCATGAAATCGAAACATTCGTTCATTAAATTTGCATGTAATTTTCGTATCATGAAACATGAATATTCGATTGATTTGTGAACAAGGAGTAAGAGCTACTAGAACTACTTCCCTAGTAAAATTTTAACCAAGGTGGGAAGATTATCTCTGAGGGATGCATTTGCTCAAAAGGATGAATAGTCTTAGAAGGTGAATTTACCATCATCAAGATGTATCTCAAATGTCCACTCATTTCTAAATCAAAATCAATGTGTGCTATTTTGAAGATAGTATCTTCAAAGCATAAAATTTATTGATTTCCCATTTATTAAAAATAACATGCGTCTCGCGACTTAATTCCCATGATCCAACGTGTAAGTTTTCCGTTCGATAAATTCGTGAATTTGATCAAATTTGTCGAAAACATATTCCTTGCACATTGCATTTAGTATTGGTAAATGGAGTCTCATGAAAATTGTATGGCTGAAAATGTTGTCGGCTGGCAAATTTACTGCCATGAAATTAATAATATGCTGTGAATATATTTGGTGCAGTTTGTGATGCCAGTAAATAAATTAATATCAAAATATATTGTGCAGATAGAGCGAGTGAGCTAGAGAGCGAGAGTGAGAAGGAGATAGATTGATAGAGAATGTAAACTGGAGAAGGTGGAGTCTAACAATGTTAGGCGTATGCATACACACATACATTGCCGTTTTGAGGTTCATATATGATTAGTTGCTTAAATATTGAATAGACATTTCGGGGATATTTGTTGAATGATTAAATTAAATTGCGTTCGAGAGTTCGGTGTGACAGGTCGATATGGTTCGAATGAGAGGAATGAAGCAGTGAGCGCGCTCCAAACTTGTAATTAATTTTATGATTTCACATATAAACACAACGAGCACGGTGCATTTGCGCGATGTTGAAATAACAGCCAATGGATTTGAATTTCATATATGATGAAATATAAACACGTTGTTTGTTTATAATTGACGATGCAATTCAAGTGCACCTTTTGGAGACGTCGACAACGACAAATGGACCGAGACGATGCAGCCTCATCCCATTGATCCCCGTCAGGTATCTTTGCATAAATTCCACCTTGGGCCGCTCACACTCTACACGCGCACACAAGGGCCTTATGAATGTTTCATGTGGAAACGCGACGGCTACTGTTGCTTGGTCGCCGTCTCAGACAGTCGAATGTTTACATTTGATATCGATTTTCACGGGGACACGTCAACCGAACATTGTCCAAAGACACACAACCAATGGGAATTGTATAGTTTGTTGTGTGCAAAATTCCCGAATGATTTATCATTTCGCTCAAATGATTTGTTTTGGTGCGGCGAGTTTCGTCTACGTTGCGCGTATGCAAATAATAATAAGTTGGTGAATAATTCACGAATTGCATCGTCATTTTCGTAAGAAGTTGAGAGAGTCTGGTGTGCTTACGGAACCAAACCAAACAACATCAATAAATTGCGATCGATTTTCGCTGGAGAGTGCATTGGTGCAAGTGCATGTGAGAGTACGGGTACATTGCATTCTATCGACTGCAATTCCAATTTAATGATTGCGATGACGCGCTAACACAACCGACTGCCTCTTTCTCTCCTTCCTTTGTCTTCACCGTCTTCTTCGCCGTAGTCGATGCAACGCGTGCGTTCTCTACCTCAATACATCGACTCAATAATAATTCTGCATGCATTTACATACACTCAACTCGTGTATACATTTATGGATGCAGTTTTGAGTTGGTCCCATTCCATACAATATATACGTTTATCGAACCGATTCGCCGGACAATTTTGTTTTCTTCACCATTCCAGGCAGAGGAAAAAAAACACAAACATATTTTACAATTCGTACAAATTCAATTTTCATCATCATTGCTTGTGAAAGCAAAATACTTAAGAGAGAGAGAGAGAGAGAGAGAGAGAGGGGGGAGGGAGAGAGAGAGAGAGAGAGTTTACAAGATGCTACTCCGCTGAACCAACGATTCTGCTTACGAAAACACTTCAAATGAACGTGCACTTAAAATGCAAGCCGTTTTGGTGTGTGCATCATAGCATAAAACACACATATATCTCTCGTATGTGTATTGAAAATACGGTTCACTTCGTTGTTCAAATGGTCATTACACTCTCACAATCATTGCGATTGTCTTGAACTTAGGCACACATTTTCGTGTTTTTCGACATTATATTATGCGATGCTATTCGAACCACATCACACACTCTGTGTGTACAATTTCCTAGTTTTGCTGTACATATTCGCTTCAAGCGCCCATTCGGTTATATTTGCTACTGTATGTAGCGTATACAGTTACTGCAGCCGGGCCACAATAACGCGCTTTAGATTTTGTTGCATATCATCTTCATTATATGCAATTTCTGCTTAAATGGTAACGACGCGCTCTCTCTATCTCACTCACTCGCTTGCTCGTTCGGAATGCATCAATGCGAAAAATGCACGACGCTCAACTAAAACTCAATTTAGACAAACGATGGCATTTTCAAAATTTTCGATTTTGCCGAAATTATTTTGGCATTCCGCTGAAAATTTCATAGCCATTTCGAACCCACGTCGTCATGGGACACATAAATGAGCGAGGTAAATATTTATTTTATGCAGAATATACACTTTTGTATACACAAATTGCCCTTTTCAAACGAATACGCTTCGTTTCCACATTCCCAATTTCGCAAATCTACCAAAAGCCAAACCAAGCCATACCATATCATAACCAAGTCTAATAAAGAGATTCGATTCTCAATGCATCGATAGCATTTGATTTGATGTGATGGGATTAGAGTGAGAGGGAGAAAGGGAGGGAGAGAAATAGAGCAATGAGAAGTTTATTTGCATGCAAACTGCATTCCTTGCCGAATAAACGAATATTTGATGAGTTGAAATCGGAGATTTTGATGTGAAAATTCATGGAATTTTCCGACTCATTTGGTTGAAGGTTGGAAAAGTAATTGCATGGTTTTTTTCTTGCACAATGCACATTAATTTTTATTATTGAGAGATTTTCTGATCGTCACAATTTTTCCTTCAATTTTTGGTGAAAATTGTTCGCAAAGAACTTCTCCATAAAGAAAGAATGAATTCTTTCAAATTATTATGAATACGAAAAAAATTCTGTATTTTTTTTTATAAATACGCTATTTTTAACGCTAGCTCTTTAAAATTTTACCCATTTTTTTGCCCAGAACATTTGAATTGTAACGATTCTTCAAAAATCTTCAATTTCCTATCAAAAACTAATAATTATTGTAAACAGCTTTAGATTTTTGTGTAAAACCGTTCATTTTTAAAAAGAAAAATCATATTCGTTGTTCATATGCGTTGTTTACACTGTAAAATCCAACGTTCTAAATGTATCAAATGTTCGATCACAACCCATTACATATTCTTCGCCAAACATGAAGCATCACATTTTCTTTCTAATTCCTGTTATTTATGTACTAATTCCGCCAAAATTCTGTGCGCGTGCTTTCGTAAATCTGTAGTTAGTTTGGGTCGGAATATTTCATCAAGCAAAAAAAAGAGAAAGAGTTTGATATTTCATGCGTTGACGTGTATTTGATGGTGAATCAAAGTTTTGTGCATAAGTTTTCGTTGCATGTGACGTTGAGTGTGAAGTTTGTGAGTGATCAATTTGTTGTTATTGAGTTCTTGTTTTCGAATGGAAAATTATAAATGCATGTCGAAGTTGTTTACCAAAATTCCAGTTTCATCGCTAAAACATATGTACATTCGGTATTATGTATGAAAAACCCAGTGTATATTTTGCGACATATAGTTTTGGGCTTTGGCTGCAAATGTGCCGTAAAAAGTGGATATATTAGGATTGGATGGAAAATCAAAAACGGTTTCAACGAAAATGCTGTTATCAAAAGTGTGTTATTCCGTTGCATTTGATGGCTAAGCCCTTTGACACTCGCACAAATAGACCGTGGGCAAGTTGGTAAATCGACTCAAAATTTGTGTATCAAATGGTGTGTATATGTGGTGTGTGTGTGTACAGCACAATATACGTGTGCGTTGCGTCGATTTGGTTTTGTCTTTTGTGGGAATGAAGCAGCGCGATTTGAAAATGATATCGAATGGTGTTTGATATAGGCAGGTTTTCGGTGGTTGAACCGAGGGATGGTTGCGAAGACGATAGAAAAGGGTTAGAGAGATACTGTTTGTATATAGCTGTATGTATGTACAAGTCGAACCGTATGCAAACTAGTCTGTTTGTTGCGTTGCATAGGCAACATAATGGCCACAATCCCTCATTTGAGAATATTTTATTAGATTGCTTGCATATATTAGTATTAAACTGGATTCTCGGCCTCTCTCTCTCTCTACAGTTCACTTTGGACCGTGTGCATTCTGAGGCCAAGGCGAATGAGTTATGATTTTGATCGTTGAAACGAGAATAGTTGTGATTTTCTATGAAAATTGTCATGTCCAGCTTGAGCTCAGAATTTTCGATAACGAACGGGTTTTTGAAACGATGCATAGCTGAACCGGTCTAACTATAACCGCTGTCTATCGAGGACATTTTTGTGGTGAATTTACTCGCCCTCTCTCCGTTTGCTCTTTGTTGTTCGATGCATTGCATGCGAGGAAAGTGCGAAGGCGAGAAGGTACAGAAGATACGTGAATTATGTGAAAGTGGCCGATGGCGTTTGCCAAAATGTGCACACAAACATAAGAACTTCTCAAATGGTTTTGTATGATGATAATGCGTGTTCAACTTGAGATAACATCATGTCGTCAACTGATGAGGCGAGTGCGGGTGCACGCGGTGGGGCCGACTCACAACCGAAAATCGTCCGTCTAATATGTGAGCGATAGAGAGAGTTAGATTTGTGTGGGCCATTATATTGTTATATAATGAATTTACCGTCATTCCGATCGGAAGAAAGTGCATACATCACCCACTACACAGCTCCCACTGTACAACGTACAATGGCGTTCGTGCCAAACGGTACAATAGACAAAAGGATTTTCAATTCCGAATCCTTTTGCACCGATGAGAACCGAATAAGAGCTGACAATTCAATGAAAAACATACACAGAAATACACACACGTCACAAATATGCGTCATTTTAGTTATACAATGGACGATGTTTCGATGCCGAAACCAAAACTAAAATACCTAGTCGCTGATGCTAGCAAATCAATCCCCCCACAAAACTATTATAATATTGTGTGTGTGTGTATACCTGTGAGTAGTGCTGTTGTTGGTGGTGTTCTTGTTGTTGCAGTGTGTCTATAGGATGTCGTGATAGCGATTCACAGTGAGGCGAAGCGAAACGACACTGACTATGATATAATATATTGAGAAATTTTCGTGCAAATTCTCGGAATATTCAAAAGGATATAATATTGACACCGCAATCAACTAAGTTTTCATTCGTTCAATACGCATACACTTGTAAATGAAATTGCCTGTGATGGTTTTGTCATTGCCTTACCAAAATAGTAAATAAATTTTCGGATGCGAACATGGAAAGTGCACACCAAATTTCAATTAAACTAAACAGTGAACAGCCATAAAATCAATAAAACATTTTCAACTCGCCACACCCAGCACAAATACGAGAATATCTTGAAAATTAAATCGAACGCTCAATTGAACGGACGAAAACTTTATTTTTTTCGTCCGCAATTTATGGTAGTTTTTCATTCGAATTGCTTCGCCAATGTTTGGATTCTAGGTGAATTGGCCGGTATCAACAATCAATTGAATTGTTTTGATGGGAAAAAAATGTGCGAACGCGGTGAAAAGAGAGGGCTACAGTGTACTGTTACTGTTGCTGCTGCTGCTGCTATTCAGCAGGAGAAAAGCGGAAAATAAAAAATAAACGAAAGGAAAAATAGCATTTGTTTTGGGAATTTGTGCGACGAGAACTGTCACATCTCGCAGCATGGAAAAAAAATTCGCTCAGCAGAGGAGAATCGGATGACACGAGAGAAAAAAAAGTTTGTGCATCGAATGAACGAACAAACACGGCACACTCAACCAGCTAGTTGTCTCGCTCTAACGCAGTCAAACTCTCATTTGCATTTTTTCCCATTCATTGACAACTCTTTTTTTTGTTTTGCCCGTATTTTTTCCCGATTCAAACGATTTTGGGTTATGTTTGTGCACCACAATTGCTTGCTATCGCCGGATTTTTGGCTAAAATTCGGCCCAAAATTACATGAAAATTTAATAGAATTTAGAAATTTGAAATGTTTAGGGCGGATTACATGGAAAAATCAATAAATTTTGGGTCGACTAAATTTCATTCTATGACGAAATCAGTGAAACTGACTCGACTCATAGCTGCTGTGATGATATTTGCAAGAGACTCATCTTTAAACTTAGCTACACATTACATGAATTGATGAGAAAATTAACACAAAAACAAAAAAGAAATTGAAAATCAAATTAATAATTACCATTTCATACATGTCTGTATATTACAACCAAAGAGTGTTGGAGTGTGATGTGTTGCACATTCCAAATGTCAAAATGAACAGAAGAAGGCAAGAAAAAACCGAAACACAAACGAAAAATGTTGTCGCAAACAAAAGAAAGCGGTCGATTTATTTATTTTTTTTCTTTTCTCGCGTAAACTCAAAATCAAATTCTCAGAAATGAACCAAAGAAAAGTGTACATTGGTTGTGCGACAGTTTCATAAACTTACGGCTTTCACGGTCTTCGGCATGGTTTTTTGCCCACTGACAAAAGTCTGTTTTTCTGCTCTCTTTTTTTATTTTGTTCGTGTTCTCAAATGCGAGCACAAAAAAATGTCTATTCGATCGCAGTTGCCGCAATACCAATTGATTGGCAACAACAACAACCACAATGAAAAAGCGGCCAGCAAAAAAAAAAAATGTCAAATACACAAGCACTTCGCTACTATTGAAAAACGGGGCAAATGTAGAGCGAAAAAAAATGTGTGTACCGAAATCAAAGCGAGATGCACTGTGAGTGAGAAAAAAAATCTAGCTCGCTCTTTACTCGTTCAAATATTTCTCCTCACTGAAATACACTCACACTTTGTCTATTTGCTTCGCACTCTATCGCATTTATGGTCGACTGTATCGTGTGTAATTAAAAATTGTACTATTTCTATTTCGTATTTTACCACTTCAACTATTCTCCACTTTTCAGATTCAGCGTTTCTTCTGTTTTTCGTTCTTTCTTTTTTTGTTCCTTGTTCAATTCACATAGTCATTGTTTCACACAGCACGCAAACGCACTACGCGATTGTGCGACAGAGTAAACCGGTACACTCAACGAAATACTGTTGTCTCGGTCGGTTCAATAGCAGTAGCACTGTGTGCCTTAAATAAATATCGGTCGAAGTGTGTTTCTTGAAAAGTGGATAGTTTTTTGAACGAACCGTTCAGCTCAGCATTTGAAGTGACACTGGCTACTTGTACGGCATCTAAGCTATACTTTGGGCACGGAACGTCTTGCTATCCGTCTGTATGCTGATGCGGCAACAGTGCGTTGCGTGTGCTGTTTCAATCGATTCTCATACGTGAACAAGAATTTAGACATATGTTCCTTGCGTTTTCGGTTCGCAAGCCATCTATAATACGGTGTGTTTGCAACGACGATTTTCTCGTTGATGAAAGAGAACGGACGACCAAAACGGCACCATATATCTTGCTCACTTACACAAGCTAAGCACATTTTTTTTTCTTGTCGTCGTCGTCGTCGGTTGTAATGTGTAGACGCGCGCGTGTGACGTTTGAATTCTTTTTTCTTGATTTGTGTGTTGTGCAGCAGCTCGATTGTTATCATGGATTTCTGTCAAATAAACGGAGAAAAATGCCATGTGATTTTTTCCATGCACATGAACGGATGAAGACGAATGAAACGGAGTAATTTTTTTTCGGGAAGTGAAACGCATGTATGATAGCATATGGAACACCCGTCTCTGTCTCTTTTTGACCAATGTGCAATTTTTACATGCATCAAAACAATTTATTTGCAGCTGTCATTCGGTGCCAACACACATTTCTTCGCATATTTCGATTTTTCGACACACAATTTATGCGAATTTCAGACACACACGTTTTTCTGGTTCTTTGTTCACGGCAATTTTTGTGTTCAACGATGTTTGTTGGTGGGCACGCGGGACCGCTTTTGTATTGTTTTGATCGCTTTTGACACATGACTTTTGTATTGTTTATAACTTTTGTTGTTGCTGCTGTGGTTGACGCTTACTTCCTTTCCTTTTACCGCTCACGACGTCGTTTTTAATACCACACACTCTGGGCTAACATGTGTGATTCGGTTTTTTTTTTAGTGAGACAACATGTGAGCATCGCTCATTGCCAATTTTGTGAACGAAGTTTGTTGCCTACTTTGATGTAATCGACAAAACACGTGCGAATCGACAGCATCGCAACTAAACGTTCGCCAATCACTTTATCTGGCCGAAACAATGCAGCGATTGTTTTATGAAAACAAAACTATCGCTTTGCAGCATTTTATCTGCAGTGGATTTTTGTTACATCAAAATCCCATTGATGATGAAAATCTGCTGCGAGCAAAGAAATAAATAAAAGTGTTGATATCAATGTTCCAAGAAATTGAATTTTTTCAGAAATGAAGAATTCTGCTGATCGGTTGATTTGACTTTGTACCAGTTTGAAACCTTCTACGAATTTGACACCGCATTTTTTATAAACAGAGCAAATTATCGCGCTTATCGCACCAATATGAATCACATGTGCCGCCCTCAAACTTTGATTCATCGTGACTTTTGGATCGTGAAAAAATGATGAAATTCTGCAGTGGATTTGGATATATAAATATTTACACAACCGCATGAAATATATATACCAAACACACACACACACATTCCAATGATAAGATCTTTCAACGCTTTGAGGCTAACGTGATCGGAAACTGTTAACAGGTTTTAGTGGTGGAAAACCTGTCAAAATATTTTTTTCCACACTGAGATTTGGAGCTTTGGATTGAAATGGTACTTTAGAAGTTAGTAGCTGAAACTTTGCATTTGAGAACGTGAACATTTATGTTTTCTGATATATCAGCCATTTAGAAGGTCTCATAAGTTGAATTGTTTCTTTTGTTTTAGTAACATTCTTTTTTCATTCACTTGGATGTTAAATTATTTTACCGCAAGTTCAATATTTGGTCTAAACACAAAAATGATACGAAATTCACGGTGAGTCACCATCAATATGAAATCCACACAAAAGTCATGCTGTAAACCGTTTTGATCGGTTCAATAGAAGTAACTCCCAAACCATTCTTCTTTTTCGTGTTTACAAACACTCAATTGTAACTTGCAGTCCGCTGAGTCCGTTCTGAAATTCAGACTCTGAATGCGTACAAATCTGATTCAAAATAATCAACAATTTCGATGCACGGGAATGAATACGAGGCTATTTCCAATGAACACTCACGTGACGCATGAACTCACAAACTTGAAATAATTTAATTGGACAAATTTTGAGTAGATATCAAGTAAAACATTTCAAAAACCTGAATTTGCGGTAATGGAATCAACGATGCAATCAATATGTTTTGGAAGAAAGAACGTTGAGACTGCAATTTTTCGCAAATTACACTGACTTATGCCGTAAGTCTTATGCTGTTTTCGTTTCGCGAGTTGCGACTAGCAGTCGATTTTAGCTGTTTTTGTTCATTTGTCCATAGATTTGTTGTGATTTTTACATTTTTTTCCTATATATCTCTTCACATCTTTTCTTCTTCTATTTCAATTCCTGTGAGATTCAATTGTTTGTTATCTTTTCTTCTCAGAATTTGTTATCTTTGTATCCGAATTTGTTATCGCCTCTAATGGTTTTGTCGCCTTATTTCTTTAGCTTCATAGTACATCTCGCAAATTTTTATCTGATTTCTCGAAACTTGAGAAATTCATTCACACATGCAAATTAGTACGAGCCAATATTTGCAGTTGATTTGAAAATAGAAGTGATGATCGCTAGCGTTTAATTGAGTGTACTGTTTACCCACTTTCGGAAGAGTATTTCATCTCAAGAGCTCTTGTCAATGACCAATTTTTTCTAGTTTGTTCCACTCTCTTTTTTGTATTCACAATCTTTGGAACAATTCGATTCAGCACACGCGATTCAATCTTTACGACGCAATTTGCGAGCTACTAGAAGAAAAATTAAAAAAAAAGAGTAACTTTGCGACTCGTATAGTAATCAGAAGGCAAGCACAAATAAATGCATTGCCTCGTGAATTGCATCAACTGGAGTGATATTTGTTACTTTATCGATGAACGTAAACAAACACACCAATTAACACCTAAAGTATCTGTTGCGTCACCATCGATGTGTGTGTGCTGACAGCATCAAATAATTTATGTTCGATTCCGCACTTAAAGGCAGCTTTCAATTCTCGACTTGTTTTTTTTGGGCCAGGTTTCGTAGGCATGACTTTGAACCTAAGCACAATATTGCAATGTTGCGTAAACAGAAGCAATTGTTAAGTCATTATGCGAATAACTGGAAATTCGACGTCACTGGCGCTATGGGAGAGGAAGTGTGTGGATCACCGCAGATAGTCGTGTTTTTTGGCAATGACTACATGAGTTACAATTACTCTGCAAGCGTCGCACTGAGAAGATCGTTCGTTGTTTTGTGCAATTAAATGGCATAGGAACGAATTTTGGTATCCGAATAATATCAGGTTCTATGCGGGATTCTTGTGAGTAGCCGTTTGTCGTTTTCCTTCAATCAAGTATCCTTCAATCTGTATTCATGGCAAAATATCCGCAGAACATTTCAGTTTGAGTTGGTTTTTACATCGGAATGGATGCTTTTTTCATTTCTTTCTTCCGATTAAGATTCCAAAGTTGAAACGATTTTTGAGACAAACTCGCAAATGATATTGAAAAAAAGTGTTGATTGTTGAATCGATTGTGAAATAAATTTTTGTGTTTGAATTGAAAGTGATTCCAAAAGACTTGTGATAAAATGTTATTACTTCGATACTATTTATTTGCTGCACTTGCGGTTGTTATTCTCTGTTGGCCACTTAGCTATTTAATCAGTTGGTTTTGGCACAAAAGGCGAGTAACAAAATTTACTCAAAATTTGCCAGTTATTGATGATTATCCGTTGCTTGGATGCGCACTACGATTCCTGGGGAAAAATAATACAGGTTGTTGCATTCGTGCATTTTGGTGAATTTACTGTCATTGTTTAAGTCGTGAATTTTAAATTATGAGTCATTTTTTTGGTTTTGTGATATTTCTGATGAAAAATTAACAAGGCGAAACGTTTGATTGATGATGAACGAAAAAAAATGAAAGAAAAATTATGAAAAAACTAAAAAACAAAAAAAGAAGAAAATTGAAAAGTGGATCAAATTGATGAAATATGACAAATGAGAAATGAGATGAATTTTCATGGTGTTGTGTTTCAAGTGTGGAACAGGTTTAATGAATGGATTACGATTTTTTTTGGAATAAAGTGAAGTCTAGTAATTTTTTTCTGAACATTCACAGAGATTATGGAAGTTATAGAAAAAGCATTTGGTGAACGAGAAATGCCTTTCCTTGCGTGGCTCGGTCCAAAGTGTTTCATTATCATCGATCATCCAGATGATATTCAGGTGATTCAACTAGAATAACCAAATCTCTATTATCGTATAATCGATGCAACGAGAGAATAAGAATGAAAAACATCAAAACAAAGCTAACATGAAAAATGTAAATAAACGAATGTCTTTTCAGATTGTTATGAACTCAAAGGGTTGCATTGACAAGAGTGATGTCTTTCGATTTTTTAACCGTGGAGTTGGCCTTTTCGCTGCTCCAGGTACGAATATTTTCATTGATTTTTGTGTAACGTTTGGGGTTTTGAAAAAAAAACTTCACATTTCTTGAAGTTTTGCTAAAAATGCAAAACAAAATTTAATCCGTATATTTTACTTCCGAAAAAATATCGTAGATTTCAACGAACTTTGATCGAATTTCATTAAAATCTTACGAACAATTTTTCTATAGAAAAAATGAAAATGTGATTCCTTCTACGAACCACATTGATTGTAGTTCGGATTAGATTTTATTATTTTAATTTCCAAAATACATCGATGCTATATGCTTTCTACTTATTTCCCAACCTATCTCCGTAGCCCACATTTGGAAGCCACAACGTAAACAGCTAGCGATGTCATTTAACAATCAAATTTGTTGGTCATTTTTGCCGATCTTTAATCAAAAAGCCAATGTATTTGTTCAGAATATAGGTGATCATGTGGGCAAAGGCGGGTTCGACATGCTAAAATATTCAGCCGCTTGTACTTTGGACATAGTTTTAGGTAATTTTGTTTTTCATTATCGAAAAGTAAGTAAAAAATATTTGATAATTGTAAACGAATATTCGTTTTGTTTTCATGTTCTTCTGCTTAGAGTCGGTCTTGGGTACTGCAATGAATATACAGACGGGCGAAAATATGCATTACATGAAAGCACTCACCGAGTAAGTTATGACACCAATTTAACAAAAATTGAGTTTAACGAAATTAGCATCAATTACCGGAGTACAAAATGACGTAACTTATTGAAGAAGGCCTAGTTAATGGGCTAAAATGGAAATTAAATTCGTATTTGATAGTTTTCTCATTGAACTAAAATATATATATATATATATAGGGAATGGGCCTACTCTCGTTTATTGAAAACAAACCTATGAATTGAAACGTCCAAATTTTAAAATAAACACAAAATTAATTAGCTTGGTTAATGTGCATGGAATGTGGGAGTCTTCCAATTGGAGACATTCTTCCGATTTTGAGTTATTTTCATAGTCAAACTTTACTCTCTTTTGACAGTTGGCTTTCGGTTGTTGCCTGTCGAATGTGCAATGTATTCTTGCATCCAGACATCATATACAAACAAACGCAACTCTATCAAATCGAGTCGAATGCACTGGCACGTTCAGATGCTATGCAAGAAAAGGTAAAACTCATCATTTGTTACATCATTTCAAAACGCAGTTGTTATTTTTGGTCCATTAATGGAACTGAGTTTATTTCAAAGGGCAAATAAATTAGGATTTCGATTTTAATCTTTTGAAAAATATTCCATTGAATTTTATTTTGCAATTACTTTAAAAAAAAAAGAAAACAAAAGCTTCCAATAAGAGAATTCTCTCAAGAAATGTAAATATTTCATTCAATCTGAACAGTTGATCTTAAAAAAGATGGAAGAATTCGACGACAGTAACAATAACGACATGGATGATGAGGATGAAGACACACAATTCGAAACACCGCAAATATTCATTGAACGTTTGATAAAATTGCGCAACCGTGGCATCATCACTGACCAAGAAATACGGGATCAAGTGCATTTGATCATATTCGCTGGCCAAGATACTTCTTCATACACGATAGCAATGACAATTCTTATGCTCGCAATGCATCCAAAAATCGAGCAACGTGTCATGGATGAGTTAAGCTCAGTGTTTGGAGATTTGCCGATCGATTGTGATTTGACAATGGATCATGTCAACAAATTGAGTTACTTGGAGCAAGTCATAAAAGAAACTTTGCGGATATATCCAGTGGCACCGCTTTTGCTACGCCATTGTACTGAAGACACACCACTGGCAAATTTCGTTATTCCAAAAGACACAGAAGTCATCGTTTCCTGTTTCACAGGCCATCGACGCAAAGATATTTGGGGTGAAGATGCCGATGAATTTAATCCCGATCATTTTAGCAAAGAACTCAGTTCGAAGCGAAACCCATTCGCTTTCATGGCCTTTAGTAATGGCCCAAGAAATTGCCTCGGTCGAAGGTTTGCTTTCATTTCCATCAAAACCATTTTGGCAAAATTGCTGCGGAAATACCGATTCTCGACACATTTGGGGAGAGAAGACCTAAAATTCCGAATGGAAATCACAAATAAACCCATTTGTGGCATTGTTCTCGAAATCGAAGAACGCATTTCGGGTTAATGTCATGATTTGTTTTTAAAATAAAATAAAAAGCCTAATTCAACAAAAGCAGGACAAAGTAGGAGTAGATATGAATAAGTCCTAGAAAATAGACCTTCATACATAAATTTTGAATAAATATAGATTTTAAATTAAAATGTTACCTTTTTTATGTACCTAATAAATCACATTTTGTGGTTAAAAATAAAACTTTTTGCTGTTTTTTCTGTTTCGAAAACATGTTTGAATGAAATTCGAAAGACTTAAATAAAATTGTATTAAAGTTGTTTTTTTTACAATTTTTGTCGAAATAAAAGTAACCTGTTCATAGGCTGGATAAACCACTTCTTTTTTATCCTGTAAATGAAGCACTTAACATCATGTGCCCCCCTCTCCCCTTACATATTTATTTGATGATTACTTTGCAGTCTGAAGACCTACGATCGCTGATGATTGCAATCGTGCACGATCTTCCCTATACATTTTATATTTATTATTTTTATTTATTACAATCGTGAGCGATCATGGGCCTTGAAAATAGTGCCTGCGATTTAGCCAAAGCAATATACAATGAGATGCTTCAAATTCGGAGGGGTCGAAATATCCGACATATGTAAAATATATGGAAATATCTCCATATTTGATACGTTGAAAGCCCTTTCCTAAATAGCTACGCAAGTTCAATTAATAACTACTCAAAGTTTTTAATAGTCAACCAAAACTATTGCTTACAGCATACATTGAATTAATCGTTCTACATATCAACTATTTGTACTGCAAAAATGATTTTTTCGATAAACAGTGTTTTGAATCAAAATCTGATAACCTGACCTATTGAGGCTAACTCCACAAATAACCATTAAAAAACAATGAAAATAACCAATAAAGAATTGTATCCAACGTCTGAGCAAAATCTTTTGTCAGCTGATTTTATTAAAATCATTTTAATTACATATTGGCGGACAACACTTCACTGAACAAGTTTTTCTGAAGGTAAAAAAGTGGTTTTTCGTAACTATTTAGAAAGTCCAACATCATAGTCGTGTTCCGATGAGGAAATGCGGATGCTATTGAATATGTACTTATTCAAAACAAAAGTTAAGCGTGTTGTTGACGTAATAGCTTCAATTCGGAAAATGATCTCGCTATTTCTGAACAGACTTGATTTTTAAAAAAATTCATTTTATTTAAGTAACTTTTTTTGCTAAAAATAGCTAATTCAATAAAACAAACTTCTACTTTCATGTGATTGAAATAAATAAATTTAAAAAAATGCAAGGTCGGAACTTTAAACCAGATGTAGTAGATCATGTTGATGCAATCCACAAAGTAGAGCTGCATTTTCAAATAATTCACAATGTTTTTATTCTCGTTATTGAAGAAAGATTTAAGAACAGCATACAGTTTTATCGTTTTAAGGGGGCTACGAGATCCTTGGTAAAATCAGAATCGATGTGATTTATCCACACGCCTCATGTGCGACATTTCACTTTAAGTTTGAATTTTGTAAAGAGCGGAGGTGAACAAGTGCATTGTTTTTAGTCTGTTCGTTCGATATAAATTGAAAATGATATCTCTTCGATATATTTTGGTGGTCTCAATTGCACTCATCTTATTCTGGTGGCCGATTATTTGTCTCGTTAAATATTTTCGATACAGAAGATGTGTTTTGAAACTAACGAAAAATCTGTCAGTGTGCGATGATTATCCATCTTTTGGGTCAGCTTTACGATTCATGGGCAAAAATAGTGAAGGTTTTTATAGATTTTCCCATTACTTTTCCGACACTCAACATTTTTAAATTGGTATAAATTCGATTTAAATATATCTAATTTTTTTTTTACAGAAATGATGAATTTGTTAAAACACGAGTACACGAACCAAAAAATGCCAATCGTTACCTGGATGGGTCCCAAATGTTTCATCGTTGTCGATCACCCTGACGATATTCAAGTGATAATGAACTCAAAGTCATGCATTGAAAAAAGTGACATTTATCGCTTCTTCAATCGTGGTGTTGGACTATTTTCAGCTCCAGGTGCGGATTTGATCCGATTTCTTTACATTTTCAAGTAGAGAAGAAGAATAAGAAATATTTGGACATGATTTTTCTATTTTTACCTCATTTGAAAGCTCACATTTGGAGGCCACAACGCAAGCGATTGGCAATGTCTTTCAACAATCAAATCTGTTGGTCTTTTCTGCCAATTTTCAATCAAAAGGCTAATATTTTTGTTCACAATATTGAGAAACATATTGGAAAAGGAAATTTCAATCTCATGGAATACTCTTCGGCTAGGGCTCTAGACGTTGTTTGTGGTAAATGATCTGTATTTAACCCCCGGAAGGACCCCTGGGTCCAGCCAGACCTTTTTCGTTTTTGGTCGTTAATTTAACATATTTCCAATTTAGCCAGCGACTTAAGTTTTAAGTTATCTGCCTGAAATTTCATTGACTATCGATCTAGCAAAACAAATATTACAAAAAGTCCTTAAAAAGGATGATATAAGGATATACAAAAACTACACTTTCGAACGGACTCCTCGGGTCTGGCTGGACCCGTATACATTTACATTCATTTGTATGGAAATAAGCTTGCCATCTCATTTTTTGCAAAACTGATAAAAGATAAGTGATATATCTCTTCAGCAAAGTTGTAGATCAAGGCAAGAGCTATAGTTTTTTTGAAGATGTCATCTCCTTATCTCTTATCGGTCCCGCGAAAATTGATAAGAAAAAACTGGTCATTTCCGCGATTTTTTGCGTATTCGATAAGAAATAACGAATTAGTGTCTCGGGCAAAGTTGTAGCACTCAACCTGTTCTTCAACTTTGCTGTTGACAGTTATCACTTATCTCTTATCAGTTTCGCGAAAAATGAGATGGCATGCATACCTTTTTTCCATACAAATGCATGTAAATGTATACGGGTCCAGCAAGACCCGAGGGGTCCGTTCGAAGGTTTTAAAATAGGTTTTCGTACGAGGGTTAAAAAACAATTGTTATACAAGCATACAATAATAATTTCTGATACCAGAAGTACTCCTCTTTATTTAGATACAGTTTTGGGAACGCCAATGAACATTCAAAACGGTGAAAATATGCATTTTGTCAAGGCACTCACTGAGTAAGTCCATTTTTTCTGTATTTAATTTTAGAATTGATACAAACACAAGTTAAAACAAAAAATAAGAAGAAAATTTCAAGTTGATATACGAAACGAAGAAAAAATGCCAGTCCCAATCCAATTCCAGTTTGAGTACCATTTTTAGAGATATTTCAAAAATGCATCTTTTTCCTGCAGTTGGCTTGCAGCAGTCACTCGAAGGATAGCTAATGTGTTTCTGCATCCAGATTTTGTGTATAAAAAGACTCAACTCTATCAAAAGGAATGCGAAGCTATTGCAATATCGGAGGCGGTGCAAGAGAAGGTGGGTGATTTATCAACACATTGATGATAGAATAAGCGAAAAATAAATAAATGAAATAATTAGAATCCTCATTGAAGTTTTCCCTATGTATTTGCATTTCTTGATTGAAGAAAAGATTTTATCTTCTATTTTCTTTCAATGTCAAAATCAGATCATCCTAAAAAAGATCCAGGAATTCAACGAAGCCAACAGCAGCGGTTCAGTTTTGGGAGATGAAGATGAAGAGACAGAGTTTGAGTCACCACAAATTTTCATCAACCGATTGATTAAACTGCGATGCGGAGGCATCATTACTGACCAAGCAATTCGAGATCAAGTGTATTTAATTATTTTTGCTGGTCAAGACACATCGTCCTACACGATTGCGATGACGATTCTCCTATTAACAATTCATCCGAAGGTCGAGCAACTCGTTATCGATGAATTAAATCAGGCGTTGGGTGTTCAGCCGATTGACTCCGATTTGACAATGGATCAGGTCAATCGGTTGGGTTACTTAGAGCAAGTGATAAAGGAGACATTGTGATTGTATCCAGTGGCACCATTTTTAATACGTCATTGTACCGAAGACACAAAACTCTCAGACTGCGTAATTCCAGCAGACACCGGTGTTGTTATTTCATCGTTCACAGCCCATCGACGCAAAGATATTTGGGGCGTTGATGCTGATCAATTCAATCCCGATCATTTTGGTAAGGAAGAAAACTCGAAGCGTAATCCATTCGCATTTATGGCTTTCAGTAATGGCCCCAGAAATTGCATTGGACAACGATTTGCGTTTATCTCCATTAAAATTACTTTAGCTAAATTGCTTCGCAAATACAAATTCGCAACACCATTGAAAATGGATGACCTTCGATTCCAGTTGGAAATTACAAGCAAACCAATCAATGGCATCGTTGTCGAGGCGGAGGAACGAAAGTAGTTGGCTTCTATTTGTTCTCAATCCAGTAGATTAGTTGATTGGTTTAAAGGATGTACTTACACTGAAACCAGTTTCATAGAATGGAAAAAACTGATAAAAATACTGAAATAAAAAATTTCATTGAACCTTCGATTGAATTTGTGCGTTTTATGATGCAAAATTTCAGGATTAATTCCATGCCCAAGTTATTCGAGTAAGTACTGTCTGAAATTACAAATTTTGAATAAACTTGTGAATATTGAAACAATGAATAACTGAAAACGTAAGTTTGGCTAGCAAAAGGAAAATGTATTGCATATGCTATTTTTGATGTGATGTTAGATCGATGGTGAATAAAGATGGGGAGAGAATCTGTGGCCAAATTATTTCACAAATTAAGTACAACGTGTCACCAATCATGAGCAAATTGAACTTAAAATGCCACGAGTTTTTTTATTGGAAGACTTTGACATCTTTTGAATCGATTTTGTAGGACTTTAGCACATAAATTTTATTACTTTTGTCGAATGATAATTATCGTTCTATCTAATTATAATTGGGACTAGTGTTGATGGATGTTCATTGTTTGTATTTTGTGAGATAACTTGAACAACGATACTAATTTGTCATTTGCTCACTGTTTTTCATACATCAGCTCTCTATTGTAGCCAATCTGGGAGTTAATATGAAAGTAAACATTCGCATCCATCGATACGTGTTTCTATTTTGTTTTCGTTTTAATTCGGAGCGCTATTCAACTTTCTGATTTTATTTTCAATTTTGAATGTTTTTCCTCTAGGACATTAGAAGTTTTTGCCTAGTAAATCTACATATTTTTGAAATAATAAAATTATTCAATATAATTTCGGTTCAAAATTACTTTATTTCAATGACACCAATGACGTACATTTGGTTTGGTTTTAGAACATTTTCGATTCAATCATTAAATTTCAGCGAAATGTAATGCAATTAATTCAATGGAAATCCATTTGCGTTAGAGAAGATATGAATTAGTTAGGATTTAAGTAGAATAATCCAAGTTCAATGAATGTACTGCTGAAGAAACAGTTGCGTAGAATGACTGAACCTTTTGGCAAATTAATATGACAAAAAAATGGCTTTTCTGGATGACTTTTAAATGTCTTTAAATTCGGTACAAAACTAGATAAGGCACCAATCCTCGTGCAAAACCATCATTTCTAGGTAATGGGTCATGATGGAACTGCACAACAACATCATGTTCTAATTGTACTTCTGTTTTCATTTGGATTCCCGTACAACAATTGTTCGGTGGTGTTTGTTTGAATCGAATTTCGTACATCATTCCGGGTTTGATGAAGATAGGTTTGGGCAATGATATACGTGAAGAAAAGATGTCCTTTAAATTTTTTGTGCTATTGTGCAAAACAAATTCTTCACCTGACGCAGTCACTTAAACGATTGTTATTTCAGATGGTAAATCTTCTTTGAGAAATACATAAGTGTCGTGTTGGTATTCCTTCACCCCAGCGTAACGAATTGCTTTCAGTACTAATGGCTCATTGGTTGAGAATCTCGTTGTTTCAATATCTTTGATATAATAAGGCCAAAAGGAATACCCGTTCGGAATTGCTCGAGAACACTGCATTTTATCGGTTTTATCACATACGATCCCTTTAAAACGCTGTCGACTTGATCCATTGAACAGTTTCGGTTGAAAGTTTTTGTTTCCAATCAAATGAACGATTTCTCTTTACTCCTCGAAGCTAAATAGACCACCATTCAAAGGATCGAGTTTGGTGAAGCTTTCAATTGACATCGACAGATAACGAATTTCGTAAAACCATTCACCCAGATGAGTTTTAACAATTTCCTTCGTCAAGTTATCTTTTTTGCTAGCATTTTTGAGCCAGGCCATGCATGCCTCGAAAACGTCAGCTTCTGAACAGGAAAATGAGTCCAGTTTTAAAATGTGGCCAAGAGTCTTTTTGTCGCAATCCAAGAAACTTGTCGTTGAAAAAACGGTTTTTGTATCGAGAGCGATCATCAATTCACACAGTCTCTTCAAATCGTTTTGTTCGTGGAGAATCGCCAGACTATAAGCCCAGCAAACGTTGTCATCGGTGATTGTTCGTCTCAAGAACTTTGTGCACAATGCCAAACATTCAGTTACGTTGTACTTGTTGGCGAGATACATGACTTTGGCTACGTTGTCCATGGTCAGTTTCACTCGACCCAAGTAGAAGAATTGCAGAAACTCTTTGAAGGAGGAAATCAGCGCATCGACGATCTTGACTTCGTGCATTTCAAGCCACGACCCATTGAACATCTTTTCAAATACATCGCTGGCCGTGGCCAGTAACAGCTTATGTGCAGCAACCCGCTCATATTGACCGTCGCTCGACTCAAACATGAAATGGAAATCGGCTCTGTCTTCGCTCAAATACAATTTGTCACCGATTGTCGAGTAAACACCACTCATGAATTCGTTGATGTTTGGACTGACGGCTGACATGATTAGATAGTATTGTGTTTTGACTGTTTGTCTACAACAAGTAAGGAACACTCTTGATCTGAGGACTATTGTGGTAATGCGATGCACTGGAATGTTACAAATAAAAACAATCATTAAAATATGACTTGAAGCGGACATACTAAGATGGTTTCATACCTCTGGAGACGATTTTTCGATGTTGTCAGCGGGCTTGATCGAAATGAGGTTATGTTTGACTGAAAATAGTATTCAACAATGTGTCGTACAAAAAAGCCTAGATATCAACTTATTGCATCAAATTTGTTAAACCAATTTTCAATGCCAATGAAATGGGCAAGCCTTTAGCCTGCCTGTTTACAAACCAAATTTTCAGTCAGAAATACTGATCACTTTGAAATTTGATTAACACTTGCAATTTTTTTTTGCTTCAGTGGTGAAGGAACGAACACTCTAGATATAGAATTCTTTTTCGAAATCAGTAGATCGTTCAAGTTTGACGACTAAAACACAACTGAATTTCTACCTTTTTCTATCACATGAATAAATATCTTCCTTTCCAAAAAAGGTCAGAAATAAGAAACAAATGGGCGGAGTTTGATGTCGGAGCGATGTGTTGAAGGTCGAACGACTATGCTTATTAAGATACATATCATGCAAATGTAATTTTCCTAATGTGTCGCCTGCAGAATTTCTACAAAAACCATAATCCTATCGAAGAAATGAACCTATAGATAATAAGTAACTAAGTACCTACCTCATTAAGCCATGGGTGTTGAATGTCATTCAACGCCACTAAGCTGTAGACATCTCTCTCCGGCTATACGGTAAACAACAGAACCAACACTGAACATGAAAATGACATGTTCAATTGCGTTTGTTTCGTTAGTTTCAACTGTGCCGCTACTTTTGTGCCGGTCACTTTTGTCGTTTCTTTTTGTTATTTTACATATAAAATCAATGGTATTAGACGAGGATGCATTAAGCATCATCAGACCTAAGCTTTCAAGAAACCGTAGTTATCAGAGGTCATGGCGACTTAAAACAGGATTTTGTCCACTTATTACAAATCAAAACTGTAAATTGTTTCTGAACGGAAATTCAAAATGAACATTTCATTTATTTGTTTGTTTACTTCTACTACAGAACCGTTACAGAAATGTGTTATTTGTGTTTGCAGTTGTTATGATTCATCACCCTTTTTGGCTCAAACGATTCGATTGAAGTAAAGTTTCTGAATTATACCGGTTTCGTTATCAACGTCTTCATCCATCGAATTCGGATGGAACTGTACGATGATATCAGGTTCCATTTTGACTTCGGATTTCAAACTCGTACGAGTGCAAAAATCGTCCTGCTCTTGTTCCAGCTGAATTTCATACATAAATCCGGGCCTGATAAGTCTTGGCATTGGCAAGGTTATCTGTTCGTCAAGGTAACAATCCGACCTTATTTCGTTATAGAGAACAACCCCATTCGCTGCATCGGTTTTAGGTGCAACCTCGACGATCTTCATTTCTGTTGAATCTATGTCTGATAGGCCCACATCTGATCCATAATCATTGTACCATAAGCTACAGCAACGAAATCCTCCTAGAAGAATGGGTTTGTTTGTTGAGAAAGTGGTTTTTATACGGTGTCCAACGCTGCGTACATTTCTTGACTCGGTTTTCAATCGATCACATTCAAGAGTAGCTTCTTCATCCCATTGAATACCTTCGAACGGCTTTCGGCGATTCGCTTTGAAAATCGTTGGTTGGAATCCTGGTGATGCCATCATTTGAATGATGTCTTTGTATTCGTCGATTGAAAATAAATTCCCGTATGTCGGTACAATCGCTGCAAGCTCTGCATTAACCATCGAACCAAAACAAAGGTAATGGAATACGTCACCAAGATGAGTGCCGATCAGCTCTTTCGTGAGGATGGCCTGTTTGCTGACTGCTTCAACCCAGCTCATACAAGCGCCAAAAATGTCCACTTCCGAACAATTCAATGAATCAATTTTGATAATGTGGCCCAAAACCTCTCGATCGCATTCCAGGAAACTCGTTGACTTGAGCACTGCTTTCGTATTTATTGTGAACACAGTCTCGCAATATTTCTTCAATTCTTGTTGTTGGAAGAGATTTGCCAAATCGTAGCACCAGCAAGCGTTGTCATCGGTCAATACATTCATCAAAAATTGCGAGCACATATTCAAACCGTCGGCCAAATTGTACTTATTGGCAAGGTACATGACCTTTGCAACGTTTGCAGCAGTTATTTTCACTCGCCCCAGGTAGAAGAACTGTAGAAATTCCTTAAACGCTGCGACCGGCGAGTCAACAATTTCGACTTCGTTCATCTCTTCCCACGATCCATTGAACATTGCCTCAAAGACATCGCTTGCGGCGATCAAGAAATTTCTGTGAGCCGGGACACGTTCATATTCACCATCGTTTGTCTCGAAAAGGAAGTGGAAGTCGGCCATCGTCTCGCTTAAATACAATTTTTCGCCAATCATTGAACAAATTGGACTCGAGAATTCACCAGTTTCATTGGAAGACTGTGACATGGTTGAAGTGACGTTCTATTTCAGTCGATTTAGGTGTGTTTTAATCTTTTGCAACTAGAAATGACACTCTTCTGGACTCGGTGGATTGAAATTCGATGCGCTGAAATTTCAAAATTGAAACCAAAAATCAACATACAATTTGAAACAGATACTCTTCGATGGTTTTCATACCTTTGGCGATGCTTCACGGTTCTTGTCGGTATTTTTGGTTCGCGGACTTGTGCGGAATGAGGTTAAGTTTGACACGGTGTAAACAACTGTTCGGCGATGACTCTGTAGACAAATAAAAACCATCAGATTAATTGTAACAAAAGAAACAACGCTTTTTCTTCGAATTTTCTATCAAATTTTGTTCTTATTACAACGACTAATTTAGATTGGAATACACATACGATCTTGATTACACTTTTGCGAAATATTGCTCGAAAGCACGGATTTCTAAACATACCTTCGGCTAATGTTCGAAGTGGTGATGAAATTGCACAAATGATTGAATTGTAATAAACCTTTTCAAAAAACCAACTATTCGAATTTTTGCACTCTAGCACAAAGAATTTATTATTAATATTTCCAAATGAAAATTCAGATCGCTAATGAAGAAAATGTTTTTTGGTTTTTTGGTTTTTTGCACGACACCTCGCCGCTTATTTGACATTTGCTCACGGTTTTTCATATGACAGCTCGTTCACTCAATTCCATTGCAGAGCTAATCGGTGAGTAAATACGAAAGACAGCATTGGCGCACATTAACACAAATGTCAACTTTGTTTATGTTTTGGATTGAGGCGCAATTCAAATTTAGTTTAAGAAATAATTACTTTTTATTGTGGTCTTCTTCGTTCTGGTTGATAATAATACCAAATTACTTTACATATTTTCGAAATAAAAAACTTATTCAAACCGTTCAAAATTACTCTATTTCAATGACACTAATGAATAACAGTTTGTTTGGTTTGGATATTGGATCGATTGATTATTCTAATTTTAATGAAATGTGATTTTCAAAGAGGCCCATTTGATTTACGAATATACTAGTATACGCACTAGTCCCCGTGCAACGCCATCAATCTCAGGTATTGGATCACCGTGGAACTGCACAACAGCATCGGGCTCCACTTGTACTTCAGTTTTCATTTGGATTCCCGTACAACAGTGGTTCGGTACGATTTGGACGAATCGAATTTCGTACATCATCCCGGGTTTGATGAGGATGGGTTTGGCCAATGATATACGTAACATCTTGTCGGTCTTCAAATTTATTATGCTATTGTGCAAAACACTCTCTTCACCTGAGGTATTCACTTGAACGATTGTTATTTCAGATGGTAAATCCTCTTTAAGTTGTTCATATTTGTTGTTTTCGTATTCCCACAATTTTGTACATTGGATGGTTGCAAGTACGAATGGCTCATTGGTTGTAAACCTCGTTGTTTCCACGTTTTTGATGTAATATGGTATGTAAGAATATTTATTCGTGATTGCTCGAATGCACTTTATTTCATCCATTCCATCACATTCAATTGCTTCAAAACGCTTTCGACGTGCTTCACTGAATAGTTTCGTTTGATAGCTTTTGTTTCCAATCAACTGAACAACTTCCCTGTGTTCCTCGAGCGTGAATAAGTTGCCGTACAATGGATCGAGTTTGGCAAAGCCTTCAATTGACATCGACGAATATCGAATTGCGTAAAACAATTCGTCCAGATGAGTTTCAACAATCCATTTCGTCAAGTTTTCTTCTTCGCTAGCATTTTTGAGCCAGGCCATGCATGCCTCGAAAGCGTCAGCTTCCGAACAGGAAAATGAGTCCAGTTTCAAAATGTGGTCAAGAGTTTTTTTGTCGCAATCCAAGAAACTTGTCGATGAAAAAACGGTTTTCGTATCGAGAGCGATCATCAGTTCACACAGACTCTTCAAATCGTTTTGTTCGTGGAGAATCGCCAGACTATAAGCCCAGCAAACGTTGTCATCGGTGATTGTTCGTCTCAAGAACTTTGTACACAATGCCAAACATTCAGCTACGTTGTACTTGTTGGCAAGATACTTGACTTTGGCTACGTTGTCCATGGTCAGTTTCACTCGACCCAAGTAGAAGAATTGCAGGAACTCTTTGAAGGAGGCAATCGGCGTATCGACAATCTTGACTTCGTGCATTTCAATCCACGACCCATTGAACATCGTTTCAAATACATCGCTAACCGTAGACAATATCAGCTTATGGGCTGGAACTCGTACATATTGATCATCGCTCGACTCGAACATGAAATGGAAATCGGCTTTTTCTTCGCTCAAGTACAATTTGGACCCAATTGTCGAGTATACTCCACTTACAAATTCGTTGGTAGCTGGGCTGACGACTGACATGACTGGATATTATTGTGTTTTGACTGTTTGGTTTTTACGAGTAAGGAGTCCTTACTAAGGAACACTCTTAATCTGAAGAAAATTGCGGCAAAATGCACTGGAACTTTAAAAATAAATTCAATGATTTAAAGCGGACATATCTAGATGATTTTCATACATTTGGCAACGATTTCTCAATGCTATCACTGAGCTTGATCAAAATGAGGTTAGGTTTGATTGTGAACAAATGTTTGTCGATGATTCTGCAGAGAAATTAGGTTTGATTCATAGTAAACAACAACCATTTTCTAACATATGTTTCATTAAGAAATTCAATTTCATCCAAATATGAAAGCAACTTGATCTATCTCTCTGCAAATATTGTGACTGACTACTCACTTAATCAATTTCGGAAACAAACGGCTTACTAATATTTTAGTACAATGTGTGGCGTAAGTATATCATAGTGCAACTGAAATTATCTTGAGTCGCACGTCAAAGTAAGCCTCTTGTTTTGAAACAAATTTTTTTGGTGCAAGACTAGCCAATCAATCAACTACATTCAGACAAACTAACAGTCATTTATTTTCTTTCTATGCGGACAATTCTAATGAGAGCTTATGTGTGAGTACGGGTTGGTTTCAACTAAAGCGCAATTTGACTTTTATTTAGAATAATTCACCTTTTTGGATCAAAGATTTCCTACAAATATATTTTTGGAACTGAAGTTTTATTCAATTCTATCATGGGTGTTGAATGTCATTCAACGCCACTAAGCTGTAGACGTCTCTCTCCGGCTATACGATAAACAACAGAACCAACACTGAACATGAAAATGACATGTTCAATTGTGTTTTTTTCGTTAGTTTCAACTGTGCCGCTACGAGAGGTCACTTTTGTCGTTTCTTTTTGTTATTTTACATATAAAATCAATAGTATTAGACGAGGATGAATTCTATTTTATTTTAATGTATATTCCTATTAACACAATTCACTTGATTACAAAAAGTATAATTTCAATTTTTTCTGTTATATTTTCAAAAACGTGTTTTGGTTTGATTATGCCACTTCTCTCCAACAGTATCATTTTTGAATTCGGTTGAACTCAAGTTCCCATATTAAACCTCCCATCACTTTACCCTCAGTAGAACCGTGGAATTTCACAGTGATGCCAGGTTCTAATTCCACTTCAGACTTTAGATCACGAGGCGTACAGTAATTGGCTGGCGGATCTTGTTCCATTCGAATTTTGTATACGAATCCCGGTTTGATGAGTATCGGGTTGGGTAGAAGAATGCGTGTTGTGTTTCTGCTCTCCAAAACACTTTTGCCATCATATGCGATTGTTGCTTCATTCAAAGAAGTTGATTCATCGCATTCGGTAATCGTTATTTTCGTTGGAAGTCTGTCCGTGTTATACCAACCACCATTTCTTCTCTCGCGTAAGTATGCGCAAACGATTGCTCCCAATAAACTCACTTTATTCGTAGAAAAAATGGTTGTTTCAACGTTTTCCAAAAAATACGGATGACACTCGTCCATTAGGCGATCGCAAATGACCACATCATTTTCATTCCATTTTGGGCTGATTGCATAGAATATTCCACGATTTGCACAGAAAATTTTAGATTTGAAATCTTCCGATGCAAACATTTGAAGAATTTCTTTGTGTTCATCAAGCGTAAAGAGATCTTCGTATGAACGATCGAATGCAGCGAACTCTTTGAGCGACATCGATCCAAATGGGATGGCGTAAAACAAACCACCGAGATGTTCTTGAATAAGTTCTCTGGTCAGATGCTCCTGTTTGCTGGCTGACTTTACCCATGACATGTATGCTTCGAACAATTCGGCTCCTGTGCAGAACAATGAATCCAACTGCAGAATGTGTCGCAACACCTTTCGATCGCAGTGCAGAAAACTGCCCGATGACAGTATTTCCTTCGTGTTGTATTTTATTTTGCTCTCACAAAATTCCATCAATCGTTTGTCTTCCAAAAGTATCGCAAGTCCATATCCCATGCACATGTTTTCATTGGTGAGTGTGTTTAGCAAGAAGTCATGACACGCATTCAAACATTCGGGGATGTCGTACTTCTTTCCCATGTTCATCACTTGAGCCACGTTTGCAGTTGTCACTTTCACTCGGCCCAAGTAAATGAATTGCAGAAACTCCTTGAACGCAGACGGTGAAGCGTCGACTATCTTAGCTTCATCTTTCTCTAGCCAAGACCCATTGAGCATTGTACGGAAGACGTCACTCGCAGTGGCCAACAACACCTTATGCGCGGGAATACGCTCGTATTGATCGTTGAACTCGACATCAAAATGAAAGTCGGCCATCTCTTCGTTCAGATATAGCTTTTCACCGATGGTCAAGACTAGGGGGATTTCACTCTATGCGAATACTGCTATTCGTACGAATGTACGAATACTTTGCCATGCATTTGAATATAAACACTCGCAAATACTGATATTCGTGCCGAATATTCGCATTCGTACGAATAACCATTTAATGTATCTATACGGCGCATTAGCAAATACGTTCGAATATTGCTGCGCGAATGCGAATGCACTTGACAGATCTATATTGATTTGTTGTGTTAATCGTTGCGACTACATTGTTTACATTAGTTCATCAAAATGGTAAATAGTTATTTCGATCCAAATTTAATATCAATTTAAGTTGTGTTTTGTATTTTAGGGACTGGAAAATGTTATTTTCAAATTAGAAAAATATTTGAATCTAAAAATGTCGGCCGATATTATTAAAATCCTGGAATTCTGTGCATTTGAAAATGAATCATCTCTAATGTCCATTGACAACGATGCTATTATGGATATCGAGAACTATGTCATTGAAAACCCAGAAATTCTCAAAGAAACATCATACGAGAATGTGAATAAGTTTAAATTTAAACCGGGTCACCGATTGCTTATCATCCAGTTGCCACAGTTATTCAAGAATTGTAATCAAACGGAAACAAATTTGCAAAAAATCGGACACCTGCGACCGTAAATGCTTGTATTCAACGTAGCTAATGCGCTTTCTGTATTAAATCCAGAATGTGTGAGAATTAATTGTAAAATTTCTGGTAGAGGCTCACCTAATGCACGTTGTAATTTTTCAAACACGTCTGACATCTTTCCACATGTTTGACTGTGTTTGACACTTCATCGCAACTGAGCGCATTCGCGACGAATACATGTGCGAGTGTTTCAATACGTTTCATATGCGGAGTCGCGCGAATGCTCGCGCGGCAGTACGAATACATGGTGCGAATGCAAATACTTATACTGTTTTTTGCGAATGCAGGATTCGTACACGAATGATCATGCATTCGAATGCGAGTGAAATGCCCCTAGGGTCAAGATGCCTTTGACGTTGTATTCTTTTGAAACTGATCCGGTGACTGCCATGGCTGGGTTCGTGTGTGAAGAGTTGTGGAATGTTTTGATGTTTTTGTTGATGGTGAATGACAAATGTCCAGAATACTGCAATTCAAAAGAGAAGAACGAATAAAAATATTGCCAACTTATGGGAAATATGTTGGTGACATTCGCTTTGAGCCTCGAAGCCGAGTTTCTATTCACAGTCCTAATTATTGAGATAATCTCACTCACCTTTTGTGGTAAATCCAATAGTGGATGGCAGAAAGAGTACAAATTGACTTTGTTGTTCAATGCGGACCTACGAGCAGACATAAAAGTATTTTCACGTACAGAACAAATAATGAAAATCAAAATATCGGACAATTAATGCTTGGTTATAGTCATGTTTGACATAAACATAAAAGGTTTTACTTGATAGTGGTGAAAACAACATCTTACCTTCGAATTTGGCAGAGTGATGTGGCCAAACAAATCTACGTTGCAGCCCGTTTAATTTCAATCAATTCACCACAATTTTGGTCTATTTTCTTACGAAACCTGTCAGTCAGTCAACGAAAAATGTGAAGAAAAATCAAATTTCACAACATAATTGAACCATTGCGACAAACAAATTCCCTCAGAATATTTTAGCTTTAAAGTGCATTATAAAGTTTTTTTCATATGGAGTTGTTGTTGTAAACTTTATATAAAAAAAAATCTAGGGGCTTTTTACTCTTTTTCATATATGTGATTTGTACGGATAAACGCGCATAGATTGTGTGCCACAGTGAAGTGTGTCGAATTTTGCACATAGTCACGAATATTACGCATAGAAGCGAATACGCGTGCACATAATGACGCCACGATGCGATTTAAGACGCATCAACACAATGTCAACATTCTGTTGTATCGTTAAGTTTCGTTCAAACAATATTTGACATCAACAATTTCTGTCTTTAATATTTATCAAATCTCTTGCTAATGAGATTGTTCTTAATTGATGAAAATTGAATTTAAATATAACACAAAATCAAAATATAATAGCAAAGAATAAGAATGAAAACGAAAATCAAAATGTTATATTATACAAATATTGAAGTATCGCCGATAGTTTTGGTAGATATAAAAATCGTTGAAAAAAAAGTGCGACGATTCATTATACTTGGAAATAGCATCTGGATTATAAATAATAAAAAATCCATATGTACAAATGATTGAAGTTCACAAAAATGATCAGCAAAAAATGTGAGCCGAAATAAGTACAAATCAAACACTTGCAGTCAAGTATTTCTTGAAATTTTACATGAAAAAAGTCGTTGCACTTTGAATTCAAAATAGTCGATATTGTGGCGTGTGACCAATCAGAGAAGGAAACATTTTAGTAGGATTCATGCGAAATTATTCGCAGTATGAATGGTCTATGTGCAGTATTCGGACATCGAATGTGTGCACTTCTAACGAATAGGCACCGCATAATACGCATAGTACGAAGAAATCGCCACATACTATGAGTTGAAGCGCATATTCTTCGCATAAAACGAATTTTTTTCGAGTTAAATGCCCCTAGAAAAAAATTCATGTTGCACTTCGAAACTAAAATATTCTGAGGGAATTTGTTTGTCGCAATGGTTCAATTACATTCCACAGACTTTTGAACACAGTTCGAATGCACTGCGTGTGCCAATTCCAATTTGACATTTGCTCTTCGTTCAGTATGTGCTTCAGTTTATACTTACTCAGAAAGGCATTGGGTTTCTTTGAATGTGTTTATACAGTCAAGTTGTCGTGTGATACACAAAATACTTTGACGTAGAGGCCGGTATGAGATTTTTCTGCAAACCAAGTAGTTGTGGTTGAATTTTCACTTTCGCTAATGTCTTCAAGATGATTTGAAATTAAACTGGTTTTACAAAAAAAAACTCAACTTTTTCCCTTGGCAAAATGGACTGAATGTGATAAACCGGAAAGAAATAACTTTTCGAATAGAAGAGTAAATAATTGGAGGGTGATTGCTTCGTAAGTGACTTCTGTGTGTTACTGAAAAACAGACTGAATGAGATGACAGTTCAAGAAAGCCAGTTTGTGCTATTATATCGATCTGTTGTTGTGTGCGTAAGGAACAAGTTGCTATGTATGAGTATTAATACTTTGAATTGGCGTCTTTTATAGCTGGAAACGTCACTTTTGTTTACATTTTAAAAATATTCAAATAATAAACACAGTTGTACAAAAAATACACTCATTTTGGTAGATTGCATTTATTTCACTTTGCAATAACAGCAATCGATATAAATGTGTTGAAATACGGTTGAAAAGACAGTTTGCTGACAATGCCGTATTTGACATTTGTTCATGTTCTTGTATATTACAGTACCTTGATCCTATTCTAATCGGAACTTACGTGTGAGCAAATATCAGCAAATATACACAGCTCGTCAACTCAAATTCTATTACGGTTTGGTTTCAATTGAAGCGCAATTTGACCTCTCATTCAAAAAACTCACCCTTTTGAATCATCAAAGATGTGTGACAAACATATTTCGAACTGAATTTTTGTTCACTGTTTATTCATGTCAAAGTGCATATATTTTCAGAAAATAATTCAGTTGATTACAAAATCGTTTTTTTTGTTAATGCAACTTCTCTCCGACAGTTAGTTATATCATGTTTAGATTCGGTTGAATTCAAGTTGGCGAATTAAGCCTTTCGTCACTTCGTCCTCAGTAGAACCGTGGAATTTGATAGTAATGCCAGACTCGATTTCCACTTGAGACTTTAGGTTAAGGAGCGTACAACAATTGGCTGGTGGTTCTTGTTCCATTCGGATTGTGTATACAAATCCCGGTTTGATCAGTATCGGGTTGGGCAAAAGAATGCGTGTCAAGTTTCCGTTAATCAGAACACCTTTGCCATCAAAAACGATAGCTCCTTCACCTGAAGTTGTTGCGCTGGTTTTGGTAATCGTTATTTTCGTTGAAACTTTTACCTTGCATTTAACATAACAACCATGACCTTTCCATAAATAGGCACAAACGATTGCTCCCAATAAGATTGTTTTTTTGGTGGAAAACGTGGTCGATTCAACGTTTTTTATGAAATATGGATGTAACTCAGAGGATGTAACTCGGTCACATGTAACTACAGCGTCTTCATTCCATATTCGACTGATTTCAACGAATATTTTCGGTTTGAAATCTTCCGATGCAAACATTTGAAGAATTTCTTTGTGTTCATCAAGCGTAAAGAGATCTTCGTATGAACGATCAAATGCAGCAATCTCCTTGAGTGACATTGATCCAAATGGCATTTCGTAGAACAATTCACCTAGATGTTCTTGAATAAGTTCTCTGGTCAGATGCTCCTGTTTGCTAGCCGACTTTACCCATGACATGTATGCTTGGATCAATTCAGCTTCTGTGCAGAACAATGAATTCAACTGCAGAATGTGTCTCAACACCTTCCGATCACAGTCCAGAAAGCTGCTCGATGAAAATATTTCGTTCGTGTTGTATTTGATTTTGCTCTCACAAAATTCCATCAATGGTTTGTTTTCCAAAAGTATCGCAAGTCCATAGCCCATACACATGTTTTGGCTAGTGAGTGTATTTATCAAGAAATCTTGACACGCATCCAAACATTCGGGGATGTCATACTTCTCTCACATGTTCATCACTTGAGCCACGTTTGCAGTTGTCACTTTTGCTCGGCCCAAGTAAATGAATTGCAGAAATTCCTTGAACGCAGACGGAGAAGCGTCGACTATCTTAGCTTCGTCTTTCTCGAGCCAAGACCCATTGAGCATTGTACGGAAGACGTCGCTCGAATTGGCCAAAATAGCTTGTGCGCCGGAATACGCTCATATTGATCGTTGAACTCGACTTCAAAATGAAAGTCGGCCATCTCTTCGTTCAGATACAGCTTTTTACCGATGGTTAAGATGCCTTTAACGTTATATTTCTTGAATGTTGAGTCGGTGGTTGCCATGATTGAGTTTGTGTGTGACATTCGCTTTGAGCCTCGAAGCCGAGTTTCTATTCACAGTCCTAATTGTTGAGAGAATCTCACTCACGTTTTGTGGTAAATGTAATAGTGGATGTGGCAGAAAAGGTACAAATTGAAACCACCTGTGACTTTATTGTTCAATGCTGACTTAGTGCGAACCTAGTAGAAAACACAAAATTATTATTAGGTACAGGTCAAATAATAAAAATCAAAACTTTGGACATTTAATGCTTCCTTTTCGTCATATTTGACATGAACATAAAAGGTTTTTCATGATCCTACTGAAAACAACATCTTACCTTCGAATTTGACAGACTGCTGTGGCCAAACAAATCTACGTTGCAGTCTATTTAATTTTAATCTGGTCATTTCACCACAATTTTTGTTCTATTTTCTTATGAAACCTGTCAGTCAGTCGACAAAAATTGCAAAGAAAAAAATACAATTTCACAACATTAGTACATTTTAGACTTTTGGACACAGTTCGAATGCACTGTGTACGCCAAATTAAATTTGACATTCGCTACTCGTTCAAAATTTGCCTCAGTTTATACTTACTCAGAAAGGCTGTGGTTTTTTTCTTTGCGTGTGATTCATACAGTCAAGTTGTCGTGTGATGCACAAAAAACTTTGATGTAGCGGCCGATGTGATTGTGGTTGAATTTTCACTTTCACCAATACCTTCAAGAAGATTTGAAATTAAACTGGTTTCACAAAAAAAAAAACTGAATTTTTTCCCTTGACAAAATGGACTGGATGAGATAAATCGAAGAAAATAATAAATTTTCGGATAGAATAATAAATAATTTTATGGTGATTGTTTCGCAAGTGACTTCAATGTCCTACTGAAAAATCGACTGAATGTAATGACAGTTCGAGAAAGCCGGTTGACAGTTTGTGCTATTATGCTGACCTGTTGTTGAGTGCATAGGGCACGAGTCATTATGTATGAGTACTAATACTTTGAATTGGCGTCTTTTATAGCTGAAAGTGTCACTTTGTGTTGAGAAGTGATATGCACTAAATGTTTGCAGAGACAAGACTCGATCATTTTCAAGTACGATGTACTATCAAACATTTCTACTTACTCAAATAAATTTTTCTTCGAATGAATTATCAATCACCTTCTCGATACCTAAATACCTCATGTAATTTTGCTCAATATATGAAGAAAATGAAAAGAAAAACAGAGAATTCAATATCTACAAAATTTAATTGGTCTTCGCAATTCATGTGTGTTGACAAGTTGATTTATGTAAGGTTATGCTAATGAAGTGGTTTTCTTCGATAAACAAAGATAATTAATCGTCAGTTGAACTTTCGTCGCTATTTTGAGTTTTTCCCATCTGCTTAGCCACATCTTCAGCGGAGTATTTGTAGATGATGCTCTTGATTTCCAACTTGGCTCGCTTCTTCAATGGTCCATCTTGTATGTTGTTCAATACAGACGAGATGAAGTTGCCAAAATGCGATTCCTCTGGTGAGATTCCAAACAACGGCATTGGTCGCAATTCAGGCAGAGTCAGTGGTGGTGGCACTGGAAATTGCGATGATGAACTGGGCAAATCATACGGAGATGACATTTGTGATGAGTCATACCGAGAAAATGAACGTGGCATTGAGAATGTCGTTGGATCGTTGCCATTATTCATTCGAGTGTGGATATTGGAGCTTTGATTTAAATCCGACGCAAATAAATTTGGCATAAATTGGTTTGGTCTGGTTGCATTCACACTGAGAGTGTCGTCAATGTAATCAGGCGCATGATCCTTGTGAAAGTAAATCATTGCTTCTTGGAACAACATTTCCATCGGGCGCGAGTCAGTGTCTTTGTATGTCCGCTTCTTTGGAAACGATACAACAATTTGGTTGCTCATCGAGTCATCAGCTTGTTCAAGCGGAATGGTTTCAGTACTATCGACCAATATATTTCTGAACTCCTTACTACGTCTGCTTAGCACACCCAGTGTTCTTGCCAATTTCTTCAACAAATCGTAAAACTTGACGATCCCATCGGGAAAATAGGTGCCACTAAGATGCTTATCCAAATAGGTGTTATAGCACGTTTCCAACGAATCGGATGTGTTGTGGGCTTGAAGATCGTCTTTTTCGCAAAACATGCACAACACTGCAGAGGCATGCATGTCATGGTTGATGGCCATGTGCTCCAGCACCACCAAATACGGACCAATTATTTCGCATCGCTTGCACTTTAACACTTTACCATGGATTTTTGCTTCCTTCGCCAAAGAATATTTGATGTATTTGAATGTGCCGAATGAATGAATGTTCATTAACTGCATCAAACGTTTTTTCATCGTCGACATTTCCCGATACCATCCAGACTTTTCTAGCTTGTAGTCTAGAATGCACATAATTTTCAAGGCATTCCGGTTGTGTTTTTCTTCCGATACATTCGCGATCGGTGCGATCGGACGACCGCTCAAATGCTCCAGCAATTTTGAATTCATCCTTTGGATTGTGACGACGAATTTTAAATGAATCTAAAATTGGACAATCTTTTTAGCACACATTTTTTCAATCACCTGAGTCACATTTCACTTGATCTCTACTTACCAATAAATTTTCACTTTGAGCTATTCAATAAGGTTGAACAGCAAAACAAGTTGATTGCACGCGCTTGCCTCCGCTCCTTGTGACAAACTAACTCCAAATGGATCGCAGTGACACAGTGTAGCGTCGTTATGAATTTGATATGCTACAGTGCACATACACATAAACCAATGTATTGCCGGCTGTGCGCTCAACACACAAACAGTCGCACAGCTCTTTTCGCCACTAGCTCTGACTTGCAATGTTTATTGCGTTCTTTTGAATTCAGAAACAGCGTGTAGACTATTCAGTACTACGCTCATCGTCTCACAATTTGAATAACCTTTGACATGTCACTCTCAACGACGATCCCTATGTGCAAACATGAAATACGTTTTCGGCTCATCTAAAACCAAAACAGATTATATGCGGCTGAAACGGCAAGTAGAGCAGGAACACAGGAGTTTAGTTTTTAGTCAGCCGTGTTTCAAGTTTCGAACGGAGCAGAACATTTGCTCTCTCTGAAAATCATTGTCATTCATAAATTAAAATTAAAATGAAAAATAAATAAATTCGAATAAAACTTAAACAAAAAGAAACTAAACTGTTTGAAATTGAAACTATTTAACTGTTAGACATTTCCGACCTGACTCCCGAACACATAACCAGTTGGTCATCTGGTTATAAGCGTTAGACTTTAAACTGTATGCCGTTCTCATACAAATTATTTCAATTATGTTAGCTTATTTATTTATTTTAGTTCGGTAATTCAAGAACAGTGAGAAAATTCTTCAATTCAGATCACTATATGAACGCGTCAGATTAAAAACAACGTTCGATATGATTACGTATCAAAGCGCTACCCACAACATTTGCATAACAAAGCGAAACAATATTTTATTGTTACATTCATGCCGAACACTGAAATAGGTAAAGCGTTTGCTAAAACACATCGTTCCGCATTCATCTAACAAAAACATTTTGTTTCATTTTCACGCGCAAATGTTCTGAGTAGCGCTTCGACTTGTGAGCGTATCATAAGTTGTTTTTATTCTGACGCATCCATATAAACATTAGTCCGTTCGGCACTCAATTTTACATCGCTTTTCTTAGAATCGCTTAATCCAAAATCGTCGATATTAGTATTTGCCACTGAATAAAATGCAATTCAAGCCACATTTCAGTTCTTATTTATGAGTTTGTAAACACAGAACCATCGCGTTGACTACATATAATACATTCAAAACACCAAACCTCAGGAACTTTTTCAAATTGCGGCGCATATTGCTCAGAACCACCAATTTGTGTGTGGGGAACAGGAGGTATCTGCTAGCCGACTGTCGAACATTGTTTCGTGAATAATTTATTGTGCGACACACCATCCACCAGATTTTCAACTTTTTCTCTGAGTTTTCGATTCAATCAAGCCAATTTGGCAATTATGTTTTATGAATAATAATTTTTCAGGACTGGCGTTTGCAATTTCGGAATTTAGTTTTCTGATTTGAATTGAATTTGCTGAAATACATGGTGCGTCGTGTTTATTTGCCAACGTGAGTTGAATTGAAATTAAATTTTATGTAAATTGAATTGGCTAAAAGTTCTGGGCAAAGGTATTGATCATTCATTTTTTTTATCCGATTTCTAGTGGAGCAGGCAACCCAAACAGATATTGAATCCATAAAGTGAACAAACTATTCTTCAACTGTTCCCCAAAATAGACAAAAATACATTCGTAATCTCCGAATTCATAATTACATTTACTGTCTTTGTCAATAGAATAAGCCAAAAAAAATCATAATTATGAAATTCATTAGAAGGTTCTTGATACCAAGAACCCTTGCTTGAAACTGAATAGTGAATCGAAATAAACCAGTTATTAAATTATTACTTAAATTGTAACTTTCACCACATAAAACATATCAATTTTGTGGAAAATACAATGAAAAAATCTCATTGGTTTTGCTTATTTCCTATCATGTCTTGGTCATATTTTGTGCCAGTAAATTGAAAACCAGGCCTTGGATTTGAGATTTTGTTCATTGGTGATAAAGCACAAAACTGAAACAACGAAAGCGGAAAACATTTGGCCAATAGACATTTCCAATGACGATTTTGTTTCTTTTAGTGAATCAGAAGCAGTGACTTCAAGCTGGAGCGATGGCTACCCAAGTAACAATTATTAGATGAAATATATCCGAACCGGGTATATGTTTAGGGTTGAATGTGGGGTTATGTTTGACCATAGATACAATCATTTTTTCCGTCGAAAATGAGTGAAATTCGGGCGTAGTCCAATTGTGCATGAAATGAATGGAAAGAAAATAGAATGAAATCAATGCTTTTTTTTCAATTGAATACCAAGTCCAAGTCATTTCATTTGTACTTACCTACGCAACCAAATGTACGTACTCCCGTGAACAACAGAAGGCTGCTCACTCAGGCCCGCAAATTAATCAAGGCCAGTTGGCTAACAAATCGTTAGTACAAGTATTATTTTTAAAATGTATTCTTAAGTGATATGGAGTTGGTGCTACTGCTAGTGGTTGCTGCAATTTATTCATCATCCTCAACTTCGGAGATGTGCTTGTAATCACTGTCGATGTTCTGTTCGTTGTGCTGAACCGGTCTCGATAGATTCGGGTGAATGCGGTATCCGAACACCTCACAACGACCTAAAACAGAAATTACACACAAAAATGTGCAATCAAAATAGTTAGAATCATTTCGATTTCATCATTTTACCTTTGTATAGAATGCACTTTGCAGCCACTACGTCACGATGCCAATTGGTTACCTCCTGGTTTATGTGTGACGCATACCACTCCAAGTCACCAGCTTCATTTGAATGACATTTATAGTATTTGCAAAGTTTTGACACCAAACTGTTTTAGCTGGTCGAGTCGGATTGGCTGCGTTACGTGGCTGATTGTTGTTGACATTCTGTTGCATTCGTTCTTGTTTCTTCTCTCTGCGTTCTTTCTTCAGTTCTCGGTTACTTAATGTGGTCACGATTTTGTTTGGCAATATTTGACCATCATACCCATTCAGCCAGCACTGTCGGCAAACTTTGAACCGATTTCGTTTGGTTCGTGGATCGAAACGTCCAAAGCATTTTGCGCATGTCTGCGATGTGAAGTACTCATCGACGAAACGAACGGTGCAATTGTTCAATTTCTTGAAGCTGGCCAACAATTTTCTTGTGCCGGGGCATCGCAATCGTCTTTTGATTCCAATCGGTGAGTTTGGTGCCATTTGTGCTGCGCCCAAGTAAATCATTGATGGCTTTTTGTTCGTTAACGATGCGGCAATTTTGTCGCTGGCTCGAGTTGACTCCACGTATTTGTCGAAACTGGGGCGAGCGTACTTGCGCGTTCCAAACACAGCAATTACCAGTGCCATCATAGTCAACCGATGACAAATGTAGCTCTTCCACGCATCCTTTGACTTTGGCGATGGGACCACTGGATATGACCGAAGGTCGCGTTGCTGTTGCTCCTTGAATGTCCTCTGCCATCGTTCTTCTTTCTGCCTACGCTTTGATCCTTTCGCCCTCCAATGATACGTTGGACCAGCAATCGTGATGTTTTCCTGAAATGAAAAAGCAATGAAATGCCAAAGCAATTAGTAATTTGTACATTAGTTTATCTGAAAATGAATACTCATTTACAATTGCCTTACCTCATCACCAGTTGCAACGGTGCGACGAACGGTTGCGTTCCATGTTCGAACGCCAGGGTCGATTCCAAGCTCATAAACGAATCGTCCTTCACGGTACATATCCTCAATTGTCTTCAAATCCTTCGCATCCAGCATACGGTTCGATTTGATGTACATGAGCGAAACGGAAACGCTATCAGTCATGATCGAGCAATCGAATTTCATTTTTCTGCCGCCGATTTTGTTGATTTTCTTCATGTTGAACACGTGTTTCCACCACTGTGCCGGATTTTTGTTGTAAACTTCGCGGCTGATGTTCACTTTTCCCCCACGTTTTCCTATCGCATGCTTCAAAGCACCCAAACCACAAGCAATTTCATAGAAAAGCGTGACGTCGATGCGAATGTGCTTGAGATCGAAGTCATGAACAGGAATTGCGATGAAATTCTTAACTTTTGGCGGTCGTGGCACAAGTGGCATCTTGTTTGTGACATGATCACTCTTATATTTGGCCCATTCGCTGTTCAGAATGCCGTACGTTGTGTGGAAATAGCTGATGTTTCGCTGAATTTTGATCCACATGCGCAGCGATGCAAACCAGTCTTCGGTAACGAATTCTTTCAAGTTGTGGTTTGCTGGTCCACCGATTCGTACCACTTCGCTCAGCAAAAACTGCATTTTCCGATATCGGTCCGCATTGCCGTGAGTCCAATCACGCTGATTGACGAGAAACTTTGTTGTGTTCTTCATGTCAGTTTCGTCGAAAATGCCGACATTTGCTGGTTTTCGGTATCGCAACCGGCCGTGATTAAACTCAAAGCATCGCATACGCAAAAAGGCTCGCATTCGTGTAACATACCAGATACGTGCATTTGTCTCACAAAATTTGCGCTGGGATTTAACAGTTCTAAAACATCCTGTAACTGGCCTTGGTCTTCGTTTGAACTGTAAGGAAGTTCCCAGTTTTCCTACAATCGCATATAAAGCTAAAATTGACTTCAAAATGAAATCGGTAATCACTGGAATACGAGACATTGAAAAGACTCAAAATACACAGCTTCAGCCTCCTTCATGTTTCAACTGGTACTCGATTATATCATGGGACGAGCTCTTCAAACCAGAAAGGGGATTCGTCGTCCACAATTCCATTGCATTTGAAGTCAAAATCAAAGTGGATAAAGTAGAAGAAGCCACTTCGACCGCGAACAAACGCCGTGCACCAAGCCCAGCCGAAGCTGAATCAATGGAATGCTCGATTTGCTTTGAAAGAATGAAGGGCCAAGATGTATCATCAACGGATTGTGGCCATTTGTTTTGTTCAAAATGCATCAAAAATGCTGTACGATCCCGAGGACTCTGCCCATCATGCAACACGAAACTCAACCTTCGTAAGGTGCGTCGTGTCTATTTGCCATTGTAAGTGAGAAAACAACATTGATTTCCACATTGATTCAACCACATTAAACGAACCGAATTTCAATATGTTTCCAATTATATTTACAGCGCAAAGAACGATTAAATTTCAACGAAAACTTCATGTGGCATATCGAGGTTCATCACGCTGAACGGCTTATTGAACAGCAAATATACCAATTTTTACCAATCATTCGAAAATTAAAATTAAAATAGTTTTCAAACCTCTAAATTCTATACTAACGCCATTCAAATTATTTTCAATCGAATAAGCGAAAACATCTTAATTCATAAGAAACTTCAAAAATTTAATATTAACTAGAACTTAAGGAACTTGAAAAAAGAAATAGATAAAACTTACGATCTACAAACAATCTTGTGAGAAAACATAATAGTCTCAATTATCAGAATAAAAACATTTTTCATTTCGGTAATTTGTTTGATTATATTTGTGTCAATAAATTGAAAATGATACCTGGAATTCCAGATATAACTTGCACTGTGGGTTGTCCATCGGTAATATAGTTCGATACTGAAGTGATGAAAGCAAAAGACAGTTAGCATGGTTACATTTTCAATTTGGATTCTTTCTTCAAGTGAATTAGGGCGTTTCAAACCGAGTTGACAATTGTGACAAGTCAAATTGCATTTTTGAATATGGTGTTTCAAAAATGAGACGGATACTGGAGATTTCTACATGGGCCGGATCTATTCAATTTAGATTTTAGCAATGGTAGCTTCGTTTCGCCCAGCCGATCTTCATTTGCACACTCCGATTGGTCATTGATGTTCTATGTAAAAGTCATAATGTTATGAATATTCCTTGCATAAACAAAGACAATACATCACACTGGTCTTATGTAGCTCAAACTTCTGTTGAATTGATCTGAAACGATTGGTTCTTTTTACAAATTTCTTGCCACACTACACCTCAGTTGAAACCAAAAGTAATTCTATGAAAAATGACACAAAACCGTTTGCATATCGAAATCGAAGGTGCTGATCCGAATGAGGCAAAGAGAAACATTATGACAATTCTATTTGTGAGACGCAGAAGAATGTATGTTTTTTCTCAATTTACATTTTTGAAAATAAAAGTATGTTTTCTGTTGGTTCTGTCTGCGATAAAAGAAAGTATATTGGTATGCCATATGACATCACGGTTTTTCACGGTTTCTGTGGAACTGATAAAAGATAACAACTTAATGTCGTCGGCAAAGTTGTAGTACTCAATAACTTTGCTTGAAATATTTATCTCTTATCTGTTATCAGCTCCGCAAAAACCGTGAATAACCGCGAAGACCTGCCAAAAATGAACACACATTCTATTAACCATTATTAGTTGAAATGAAACATACTTCTCTTTATTGCTACGAAGTTGAGCAAACTTGCGTTCTTTTACGTCACACCAATAGAATTGAACTGCTGAAAATATTCGTTGGACGTGTTTTGATGCTTTTTTAAATGTCAAGCTTGAAAAAGTTGTACTCAAAAGCGGTACATCAAAATAGTGGAAAAAGAGACAACAGAGGCGAACAGACAAGAAATTGTAATCGTGTCGTCGAATAACTGGAAATTATACGTCACTGTTGCTTAAAACAAGAGAAGTAGTAGAGTCGTTGGATAGTGGAAAAGCGTGTTATTGACGCATTGACGCAATCAAATCAACAGCTCCAAAGCAAATGTTACGTTATGGTAATGATAGCTTTAAATTTAACAATAACAAAATACATCTTCAATTTTTATTTAACCCAGTAACGAGATTTTTTTAAATTGAAATTTTTCAAATATTCCAAAATGATCTTCTTAAAATGTTCTATTTAAGTTTTCAATTGTAATGGGGGACGGATCAATCAACACAAGAATAACAATTTAATATCAATTTATTTTTCACCTATCCCCTGGTATGGTTTCTTAATTCGTAAATTATTTAGAGGCCATTGGACTCAAACCAAACAAACTTTACCAGCTCAAATTGGACTTGATGGGTTAATTTTAAGGCTATTCATGAAGTTCAATGCACTAAACTTGAAATTAGTTCATACAATGATCTGTTCTTTCAAACTCACACAAAGAATATTGGTACAACGATCAGAGTGGAAAAAAAACGAAAATCAGTATGGAAAATTTTCCAAATCAGTTTCAATTTGCGCTTCTTTGACATCAGTTGTATTTTTTTAATCAAAAAATTTCTTATCAACGTTTCTTAAGTTTAGGATACATTCCGAAAACAGCGTATCGTCGTCTAAAGCAGGACACAAATTATTGTATCGTTAAAATGTTGTCGCTTCAATATTACGTTGTCTCGTTTGTGTTGATTATACTTTGTTGGTCGTTGAAATATTTGCTCAACGCTTTGTTGTACAAAAGGCGAGTGGCAAAACTTACCAAAAATATGCCAGCTATTTATGATTATCCTTTGGTAGGAGGTGCCTTACGATATTGGAGCAAGAATAATGAAGGTGACTTGATTGTATCTTTTTTATGTCTCAAGTTTGATTGTCATTTTTCATCCAAATCAAATTTTGGCGAGTATATTTTAACAAAGAGCATATTTTTCTTTATTTTTATTTAAATATGGAGAAACCATTTTATTGAAATAGATCTTTTTAAAATCCTACGGAAATTATGGACATTTTGAAAGAAGAATACAGCAAACAACAAACCCCATACTTAAATTGGTTTGGACTCAAGTGCTTTTTGATCATAGATCATCCTGACGATATTCAAATGGTTATGACCTCGAAATCGTGCATTGAAAAAAGCAACATATATCGATTTTTTAATTAAGGTGCTGGACTATTTGCTGCTCCAGGTGAGAACAAAGAAATTCACAAATGAATTTACACTATTGGCATTTTAAAGTCTTTTAACAGGAAAATTCGCACATAATCGTAATTGTGCGCATTGGAAAAAGTGCCTGTTTTTTTCCCTCGGGTTTTTCTTTGAAAAATTTCTTGGCAACATTTTCGACTCAGAGAACTTACATATTGAGGAAATTAATTAATAATCACATATTGATACAAATAAGATATTTCCGATAGATAACTTTCACAAGAGATTTTCTAATCAAATCACTTTTGTTTTGAATAATGCTAAGAATGGATTTTTTCCCATTATTTGCGATGAAATTTAGCTAGCATTTGGAAGCCACAACGGAAACATGTGTTTGTGTCTTTCAGAAATAATATCCGTTGTTCATTCCTCCCAATTTTTAATGAAAAAGCCAATCTATTCGTTGAAAACATTGGTCAGCATATTGGTAGAGGCAGTTTTGATATCTTCCATTATTCATCCGCCTGTGCAATGGATATAATTTGTGGTAGGAATTTCCAATTCGGCGAATTAAAATAAAATAACGAACAATTGTCTTCCGCATGTAGAGACTGTCTTGGGCTCACCCATGAATATACAAAATGGAGAAAGTAAACACTTCGTGGAAGCACGTGATGAGTAAGTTTCGGATTTTCAATGAAAAGATTTCGAAAATATATATGAAGTGTCGAACAAAATACTTTTTCCAAAAAACGAAGGTAAAAAATCCATTTATAAAATTACAACTTTCAAATAGGTGGTTATCAATTGTTGCCCGGAGGATAGCCAATATCTTTTTTTATCCGGACATAATCTACAAGCAAACACAACTTTACCGGAAAGAATGAAAAGCACTCGAGATTACAGACTCTATGCGAGAAAAGGTGTGGATTGCATAAATGAATCTCTTTGCGTTTTTGTTCTCTGTTTTTCGCGCAATTTTTCAATATGGGCAAGAGTCAGGATGGTGACGTTACAATTCGCAAGTCCTTTTTTGGAAATATATACATATTCCTTGCAATTTGTTCATAACAAAAACAATGAAAAAAAAACCAATTTACTTTACGACGATTCCACACCAAGCGGGACAAAATTCTGATTTCACCACTCCGATTTCGTCCAAACTTGGTGTATAAACTTCTTATGGCCAATAACTCGCAAAGCCAAAAAATTGGGGTGACTTTCTCCACCTGATGGTGTGATGAAATTTGGGTGGCCGATATTTTGCGAAAAATTGACTATAGCACTTTTTTGACATTTTTCACTATGAGAAGTGTGGTACAAACTTTCAAAACTATATGCAACTCACGCAAAAATACATATTCTGAACTAACTGATGGGGATGATGAATAAGATTTCGAATCACCAAAAATTTTTATTGATCGATTGATTAAACTGCGGCACGAGGGACTGATTACTGAAGAAGATGTTCGGGATCAAGTAAATTTCATTATGTTTGCCGGACAAGATACGTCTTCTTTCACAATTGCGATGACAATTTTGCTGTTAGCGATGCATCCGAGCATCGGGAAACGTGTTGTAGATGAAATCAATGAAGTGCTTGATTATTTGCCGGTTGATTCTGATCTTACAATGGAACACGTAAACAAGTTGACTTATCTGGAGCAGGTCATAAAAGAAACATTACGATTGCATCCAGTGGTGCCTATCTTGTTCCGTCATTGCACTGAATACACATCAATGACGAATTTCGTTATTTCAAAAGATACTGAAGTTGTTATTCCGGCGATTAGAGCTCATCGACGCAAAGATATTTGGGGTGAAGATGCCGACGAATTCAATCCTGATCACTTTCCGAAAGAAGTCAGTTCAAAACGAAGTCCATTCGCATTTGTGGCTTTCAGTAATGGCCCCAGAAATTGCTTCGGTCGTCGATTTGCTTTCATTTCCATCAAAACCACACTGGCCAAAGTACTTCGAAGTTCCAAATTCTCCACACATTTGGGAATGGATGACCTAAAATTTCGACTTGAAATCACCAGCAAACCAGTCAAAAAGGTTTTAAGGTCGAAATTATGGAACGCATACTCCCATGAAAGTTGTATGACATCTGAGTTCAGATGTCGTTGGCCAAACGTTAAATTTTGGCTTTGATTAATAATCAATGATTACTAACTTAGCAGTTAGTGATAGTTTGTGACTACTGATTTTGCAAAATTTCAAAATAAATGACAGTTTGTCTTTTGAGTCTCATTTTTATTGTACTTAATCAGTGATAGCATGAATGAAACCAATCAAGATTCTATGCAGCCTTACATTCATAGAAATGCGTTATTAAAGTAGGACACAATTCATCACTGAAAATTGTAGACTCTACGTATTAAAATCGTTCCATCAGTCTACTCAGTTGCGGTGTTTTTTTCGAAGAAGAAGCTTTCTAAAATTGCAATTATATTCATCGACAATAAATCGTCGTTATAAAAGTGATTTGGCTTGAATTGGTTTTTTATTTCCTACAGATTTGATTGTTCAAGATTTTAATTGCAGCAATTCCAGTTCCAAAAATATAAGTGGAAATCGGATATAAGTAAAGGTAAAGAATCAAAATGACACAAAAAATCCGAAATAATCTCAATTGCACTATATAATAATCTCAGCAGACGGCTTTAAAGTTGTTTATGCAATTCATTCAAATTGTCGTTTCCCTTCGAGATCGAATCTCGTTTCTTGAGGAAAGCCCGTTATATTCGCTGAGTTGTTGGTAAAATATTTCAGTTTGAATTACTTCTTTCATCCCAACGGTTGTGAATTACAAGCACTTATTTCTGAATTGCTCTTCGATTTTGTAAGTTATCAACATTCAGGGGCATATTTTCCGTGGTGAAAAAGATATTTGAAATTTTGTTTTCGAAATAAATATCTCAAATACATATCTGTGAATTCTTCTGAATGGAATTGTGCAAAGAACATGTTGATTGAAGCATTTATTGCCGAATTGTAAATGTTTAGACATTAGCTGTGTAGAAAACTTCTGATAAAATGCTGCTATTTCGATATTATTTACTGGCCGCATTGACGTTGATTGCACTTTGGTGGCCGCTTAGTTATTTGCTCACTTGGTTTCTTTATAAACGAAGAGTGTCCAAACTTACACGGAATATTTCATCACTGGATGACCATCCATTTCTTGGCAGTGCACTCCGATTTATGGGAAAAAATAATGAAGGTGATTTTTTGGATCTTTAAAGTCAAATTAGTCATTTTTTATACCCCTACTAAAATTGTATCGTTGAGTATGTTTTCACCTAAATTCCTTCAATCTAAAAGGAAAAATTGTGTTCATTTTGGAAATTCCCACATCATCGAAAAAATAATCATTACAAAAACAGTTTTTATTTTTAGAAAAAATTTGAAAAAATTACTTGAATTAGTTTATTCACCTGAAAAATTGATGAAATTTTCACAGAAATGATGGAAGTGTTGAAAGATATTCTCTTCAAAACCAAAATCCCGTTTGTATTTTGGCTGGGACCAAAAAGTTTCTTGGTCATTGATCATCCAGATGACATCCAAACGGTCATGAACTCCAATAGCTGCATCGAAAAGAGTGATATTTATCAATTTTTCAATCGTGGCGTTGGACTTTTTTCGGCGCCAGGTGCGTATTTTATTGAAAACCTAATAGTGTTTGTGATGAAGACCAAAGTATATGTAAATTTATAGACCTTAATGTAAATCTTAACGTTATGTTTTAGCAGAATATAAGAATTTTTATTTTTTATTGAAATATGTGAAAAAAGGGAAATTTTGACAATAATGGTCAATGATTTTCTACCGAATTAAAGCTAAATTCCTGTTATTTTTTTCATTTCACCACTTCCAAAAGCTCACATTTATAAACCACAACGGAAACAACTGTCTGCATCATTCAACAATCAGATCACTTGGTCATTTCTGCCGATTTTCAATGAAAAAGCCAATTTATTCATTCGAAATGTTGGTCGACACATTGACAAAGGCCATTTTGACGTGATGCATTACGCTTCGACCTGCACTTGTGACATCATTTGTGGTAAAAGAAAAGACATTCAAACTATTTTTCAGTCCATTCTTCGAATACAGCTCGGTATATTCACTCAATCTCTATCTTTTTGTATCAGAAACGGTGTTGGGAACACACATGAAAATTCAAGACGGTGAAAATGATGATTATATGGAAGCTTTGTCTGAGTAAGGGCCAATTGTTACCTTTGATTCGAAAATAAAAAATTATTTGCAATTAATTTTCGAGTTTGAGGTCTACGAATCGCAACAGATTAGCTGTTGTTTCAAATTATATATTTAATGCAGTTTAAATGCAACAAATTGAGTTGACTTAATTTCTTCTATCCAACAGATGGCTTTCAGCTGTTGCCCGAAGAATGGCTAATGTGTCTTTGCATCCAGATTTTATTTACAAGTTGACACAGGCCTATCGTATCGAATGTGATTGGCTTGCTCGGTCTGAGATCATGCCGAATAAGGTAATATTGATACCAATTCATGGAATGATCATTTTTGTCTTTGGCAAATCCATTTTAGAGGAATAATTTGAAAAAAAGAAGCTATTTTAACTTCGATATTTAGAGTAGTAAGCTTGTTTTCGATAAAAGAATACATTTTGGATCTTAAGAAACAAGCTTTTTGTTCATGTATTCAGAAAATCATACATACCTTTCTCAAAATAGGTTATCAATCAAAAAATGTCGCAGCTTAAAGACGACAATAACAATGCTGCGACCGTTGAAGGTGATGATGATGAACGGAAGTATGAAAAACCTCAAATTTTCATCGATCGACTCTTGAAATTGTACAGCAAGGGAATCGTTACCGATCAAGAAATTCGAGATCAAGTGAACTTGATAATATTCGGTGGTCATGATACATCTGCCTTTGCAACAGCCGTAGCAATTCTAATGCTAGCGATCCATTCAAAGGTCACCCAGCGAGTTATGGACGAACTGAATGAAGTGTTGGGTGATCAACCAGTTGATGCTGACTTAACAATGGAACAGGTCAATCAATTGGTTTATCTAGAACAAGTCATCAAAGAAACATTGCGATTGCATCCAGTAGCACCGATTTTACTACGACACTGTACTGAAGATACAAAATTAGCTAATTGTGTGGTTCCAGCTGGCACTGAAGCTGTGATTTCAACTATGACAGTCCATCGCCGCAAGGACATTTGGGGTAATGATGCTGATGAATTCAATCCCGATCACTTCAGCAGAGAGGCCATGTCGAAACGCAGTCCATACGCATTCATGGCATTTAGTAATGGTACTCGATATTGCATGGGACAAAAGTTTGCCTTCATTTCAATCAAAATCATTCTGGCTAAACTGTTCCGCAAATATCGTATCTCTACACGCTTAGAAATGGACGACATCAAATTTAGACTTGAAATCACATGCAAACCAATCAATGGCATCATGGTAGAAATTGAAGAACGAACATAATTCCAAGCAACCGAAAAACATAAATGGGAACGGTTTGAGAATTAATATTGAAGATTTTTTCAGTTTATTTAAATTGGGATTGTTTTTTCAAGGCAGAAACTAAAAGTGAGCCGGTTTATATACAATTTTTATGCTGAATATACATATATTTTTAAAGTAAAATTGCCAATTGAAAAAAAGTAGTTTTCTTACAACTTTAGCAAACAAAATAATTATTCCGAATCATCGTCCAGTTTCATAATGACCCTCATGTATATGATAACAAAGTTGCAAAAGGAATGATTCAATTTCTCAAATTTATTCGTAGGGGGAGTATGTGTAAGTTGACCCACTCCGCCGATTTTGTATTTTGACCGACAAATCGTCAATTAGGCTAGTCTCAATCGATTTAGAAACGTCAAAAACCAATATAAAAGTAGTTTCCAAGAGTGAATCCGCTTCTTAAACGGCTCGGATCGGCTCATGAAAAAATTTTGCAAAAAAAAAAATATGTTTATAAAAACTAAATTTTTTCGGGCCATCATCAAGTAGACAATTTCGAAGATATCAGCAAAGCGAGTATAAGCTTTCTTTACTAGTTTTTCGTGTATTTTCATAATCCGAAGTCATTTCACACATTTCATTACATGGCGAAATTCTTTCCGTGCATATTGAAATGTCGACCAATTTTGTAAGTTGACCCACCCGAGAAAAAAAATCAGAAAAATGAGACAACTATTCAGCGTTAACACTCAGAATACGAGATTCATTGAATTTTAATGAATTTGCAATCGTTTTTGGACTTGAAAAACACGAAAAAAAAATCGATGAAATATGAAAAAATAGAGAATATGTAGGTATTTTTTTACTATTTCTATATTTTTCATTGTTTTTCATAGTTGTAAAGACCAAAAACGATTGAAAATCCAACGAAATTCAATGAGTTTCATATATTGAGTGTTTATACTGCATGTTTTTCTAAAAAAAAAATAGGGTGGGTCAACTTACAAATAAAAAATTTTGTTGCCAAAAATCAGACCTCTTAGAAAATCAAAGGGGGAACATAATGCATACCGGGCAACGCAGCCAACTTCATGTTGGTTGTCACTTGGTTACTACTGCAACGCATTGACGTATGCTTGTGTTCGAAAAAAAACCAATTAAAATGAACTAAAACCAAATGAAAATTTATTCCAAATAATTTGAGAGATATATTTTTTAATAAAGTATAATTTCTACTTATATTCAACCAAGTTTTAGAGAAATCATAGTCTTTGTTTTGCTGCAACAAGACTTTGTTGTTTAGTCAGAATGACTGTAGAAATTAATTGTGAACAATCCGTTTCAAAGTCTCATTGCAGCGAAACCAACTCTATGATTTTTTTTAAATTTTTACAAATATAAGTAGAAAAGGTACTCTTTCAGGAAATATGTTTTCTAATTTTTTTCGAATCTACTTTTCATTTGGTTTTAGTTAACTTTAATCTGGTTATTTTTCAATCAGAAGCATACGTCAATCGCAACGCAAAGTGGCACAAGCTTGTACCATTTTTCGCATACACACGCGTACGAACGCAACGATTGTATGCAGAAAATGGGACATGCTTGTGCCATTTTGCGTTACGACTGACTGTAGTTGGCCGGGCAACCGCTTTGGCGGGGCGCTGTCAACAATGTTGCCCCATTCATTCACACTTTGTAGAAAATTGACCGAAATGTTTTGTTTTTACAACCAAAGCTAATGAATTTCCTGATCAAATTGGAGCTTTGATTTGAATTGTTCCTACATAAAAAAAAATAAAAACCCTACACTAAACTACATAAAATCTAGGGGAGAGGTTTGTAAGTTGACCATGGATCCTTGATATTTTCATAACTTTTCGAAAAATCGAAATATCTTAAATGTAAGAATACCGTTGGAAAGAGGACCTCAAAATCTACAATTTTGCTGAAGAAACTTATTCGATTTATTGAAAAAGAAATTTTTTTCAATCGATTTTCCAAGTGGCTTGAAAAATCCCCAATAATGTAAGAAACATTGAGTAAAAACACCTGATTTACAAAATTTAAAATTGTTTCTTCCATTTTCATTTAAATTATTGGCTTTAGACGCGAAAATAAGGACAATTTTGAATATTTCTGATGAAAAGTGTTATCGGTTCCATGTTATTCTGATATATTTCGAAAATTGAAAAATATTGCCAAAAATTTCACTAAAATGCAATAAAAATACTTTAAAATTGAATTGGTTCAGAATTCCAACATGTAAAAAATTAAGACAGTGGAAATCAACTTAGAAGTTCAAAGGGTGGTCAACTTACATTTTTTGATGACTTTGCAAAATGTATCATATTTTTTTTTCTAGCCACAAAATGCTTGGAATTGGCATTGGATTATGAAAATACATTAAAAACTGCTATGTAAAGATTATATTCACTTCTCGATATTGATACAAATTATCCAATTTCCGATGACCGGTGAATATATGAGTTTTAATTATTTTTCTCGAAAAAGTACACAGTGCTTGTATGACTAACTAACAAAGCGTTTTTTGGCCCAGAAATCAAATTAAAGTGGAGTCGCTTGTTTTAATGACGTTGAAAGTGCAAATTCTGGCATTTTTAGTGTCAGAAATATGAAATACCACGGGGTGGTCAACTTACATGCATGGTCAACTTACAAACCTCTACGCTACAATTAAAATCGCCATACCCGAAGTCATTTCGGCAAATTTTCCAAGATTTGAATATTCATCTAAATATCATCGTCCAGTTTCATGTACAGTATAAAAACGTTGCAAGAGGAATGATTCGATTTCTCAAATTTATTCGAATCTATTAATAAGAGAACAAGCAGCCAAATATTCGATAAAGAAAGAATAAACGGCAATTACAACCTACTCACATCATTCATATATGTAAAAAAATATTTATTTTGATTCAATTATGAATAAAATCAAATAATATGAAATTGTAAAACTGATTCTCTCAATAATTTTTGATTAATTCTGGAATAAGCACATTCACACTGTCAAATGATACGCACACATTTATTGTACTGTCAGTCGTTTTGTTTGAAATGATCAGTGTAAACAAATGTCAAACAAAAATTCGCGTTTGTGAACAATCTTGTATTTTTCGTCCGAAGTGACAAAATTTCATTATGTTCATGATACACTCCGCAATAAAATGGAGAATCTGTCACCTTGACATGTGGTAATATGGCGGTTTACCCGATGTAGAGGGGAATTTAATCTAAAACTGGATTAATTCCTATATAAATATATGGCGCACTCTCCGGAACTATTCTTCATTCGAAAAAAAATTCGATTTGTGGAAAATACGTTTTTTGTTGTCCCATTTTATAGCAGTTTTTCGATAGCCGATTACTCAAAAAAATCGTTCCTACATAAAAAAAAGTAAAAACACTACATTAAAGTACATAAAATCTACAATTGAAATCGCCCTACCCGAAGTCATTTCGGCAAATTTGCCAAGATTTGAATATTCATCTTAATAAATAGCTTTTAAAGGTCGGAATTCGGCCACGAAAGTCATTTAATGAACACGTTTGTAGGTTGGATCAGTAAAAATCGAATTGAACAGAACGAACTGAACCAAATCAAAACAAATTGAAATCTTCAAAATCTCAGTACATATATCGATTGGAAGCTGAAGGTGAGTTGAGCTAAAAAAAGAGAATTTTGAGAATATTGTTCAATAAATAATATACAATGGAAAAAACACTGTTCATTTTGAAGTTTTTCAGCTTTTAAAGTCCTTAATTCTTTGGGTCGTTTTCAATGTTTCAGGCTGTGTAAACAGAAATAAATCCGTTCATGTCATCCGCGACGCCTGAATCCACCGAATACGACAGTGGCCTTTATTCGACAGTTGGTGAAAAGTTATATTTGAGTGGAGAAATGGCTGATTTCCATTTTACTTTCGAATCAGCGGATGGTCACGAAAATATTCCGGTCCACAAGCTGCTATTATCCACTGGAAGTGACGTCTTCCGTGCCATGTTCAGCGAATCAGAGAAAGAAAACCACCAAACTAAAATAGTTGATGCCTCAGCTGCGGCGTTCAAAGAATTCTTCTTGAGTTCTTCTACTTGGGACGAGTAAAATTAACTATGAAATACTTCGTC